TAGCTGAACACAAGTTCCATTCCCCTAGACTAGTATTAGTATTCTTAGGTTTTCCTGAAAATCTTACATTTTTGGTTTTTACTTTTTGGAAAAACTAATATAAGGAAGCATTCCACAGTTCTGAGCACCTACTGTTAGTCCAGGTAGGATGTTTATTTTACTGTGAACGAAGGGTCTTCTATTTGTGCTACAAAATGAATACTGCTTGTTTGGTTCTTCCATCTAAAGAGCAGCAAAGTAAAACACCATAAATTTGGGGATTTTGCCCTGAAAAGTTAAACTTCTTTGTAATTTTTGTAAGCATTCATCCAAAATAATTCCAAAACCAACATTAAGTAACCTTAAAAATAAAGAAGACATCCTTATACCAAAATCTCCAGAGGAGTAAGCAAAAGAAAAATTTCCAACATTTTGATTCAGAACAGTTTAAAAAAAAAATCAACATTTAAAATATCAAAAGTCAATCATGTTGGTTCTGATGACCTGAAACCTCCTAAAAAATGTAATATAAAAAATTGAATGAAATAAATAGAAGCAACAAATCTCAATAAATAATTATTTCTATTGACTTGTTTTGAGACCTTTTCACCAGAAATTTCTTAAGTCCTTAAAATGGAAATTTTCACATTTATATATGCTCTATTTTACAATTGCTGCATTGGTTTATTTCAGTGCTATTTACCTAAAACATAACCGTTTTTCTGTTGGTGGTGGTGTTTTCTTTTGCTGAACAAAGCAGGGGATTTTAAATAATTGGAATGAAAATTCTTTTATAAATTATTAGTCCTAACTCAAACAGATCATATCTATTCAAAAAAGCTTCCCTAAACTGAATCTTGTACTTCTCTTAATTGTTTTACTCACTCATAGGATTAAAGAAAATGGTATTAAATACTGTGGACAACTGAAGAGAAGAATTACAGAGGGAAAGTTTCTTAAAGATGCCATTGAGAAGAAAACTAGATGTAAGGAAATCTATGATTTGTGGAATAAAAAGGAGTATTATAAGAAACTATTATTGTGAGAAGTCTTTTTTTCCCTTCTGATTACAGACCCCTTTATGAAAGTCACACATGCACTCCTGAAAAAAATGCAGTTAACACACAGAATTTCCATACAATTTCAGAGGATTCATAAATTCCCCCAAACCCATGGAATCTCAGATTAAGGACACTTATAGTTGAAAAAGCTCTCTGACTTAACTCCAAAGATGACCTTATAAAAGCACTAGGTTTAACAATCTCTTTGAATTCCAAAATAAATCAGCTTTTTACTTTAAAATATTGAATATTAAGCATATGTAATACTTAACTATGTATAATAAAATTAATTATAATCTTAAAAGTTATACATAACATGAAATAGAAATGTTTTTAAAAAATTACTGTATCTACATGACAAGTTTAAGTGATAGAAATCTTTTCAATTCATTTATCAATCACATGGAAGTTGTAGGTAAAAATGTTAATGTATTTGGGTATCATTGCTAACACTTCTAATTACAAGGAAAGACACAGTATTTGCTTAGTAAGGAATAAGCCAAGAAATTTTGAACTTCGCAAATATAAATTGTGTTGCAAATGCTACTTAAAAGGTCCACCTGTCAAAATCATAATCAGCATTTTCCCTTCATTATACTACTAATGAAATATATCTGCAAAATATATCTCTTGTTTCTCTTATTCCTACTTAACCTTTATTATTTAAGCATAATAATGTATTTCAGTAAGTTCTCATTAGTAATATGCTAAGTAGTGGAATGACCCAATGTACCGGTTTCAACTGTTTTATATTCAACTTATCATGAAAACCTGGAATTTACATTGAGTTTTGAAAATCCAAGTGTGCAACAGATGCCTTTAAAATATTACCCCAATCAGAAGTTCCATAAATAAACTGATGAATTTTTAAATATGGTGGTCAGTAAATAGGAAAATGATTAAATAAAGAATAAAGAATTAAAAGCCATGTCTCTCAACTATCCAATCATCTGTACTGTTCTTAGAAATACCTTACATTTTGCTGTTTAGGATAATAATGGAATTATATACAACTTCTTCATTTTTGGAAGTTTTTTTCCCCAATGGATCTAATGATCTTCAGGAATGAACCACAAATCTAATTCAATTGTATTTTTTCAAATCCGTCTTGGTGTAGATCAAGAATTAGTCAATAAGACTGGATTCAATGTTAACCAGAAATTTTTAAAGTGGATAATAATACAACCAATGTCTTTATATACACATAGCATACTGAATTTTGGTAATCCCTAAGCGATTTTCAGTGATAAAAGCCCAGATATATTTCAGAGAGTTGAGAGATGTGGTTAAAGTGCCAAAGCAATAAATCAAGTTTCATTTATCCATGACAGAAGATGGAAATAGTAATCACTTGAAATCTTGAGTATTATATTCAGTTTCTCCAGCTGAAATCTGGCTGAGTCGCTTGCTAGATCCCCACAATTTTCGAGAAAGCTGACCTGAACGCATCTGTTTAAAGTAATTCAGAGAAACAAAGAATAGATGTTATTACAAAAAAGAAAAAAAAAGAATAAATGAAATTGATATACAAGACACCAATTCTGTAGAATGCAGAACGTAGTTTTGTTAACAGAATAATTAACATTTTAGTGATTCGTGATTAATAGTAATTAAAGAAAGGCTTCTCTACGTTGGTTGTCTTTCAACTAAGAAAGGTCTAATGCTAATGTTAATTCTAAATTTTATAAAATTAAGTGTCCCAGTTTGTCCAAATTACCAAATTACCATGTCCCTTTCTTTATAAATTAACAAAACCAGATGTTATATGCAACTAATGAATTGTTGAACACTACATCAAAAACTAACGATGTGCTAAATGTTGGCCAAATGAACATAATGAAAATTTTTTTAATTAACAAAAGTATATTTTACTATATTAAAATAATCTTCTGAAATTTTACTTTAATAAGACACATAAGTTGAGTATTTTCTCCTCTTGTATTCTAAGTAATATTAATGCTTGTCACAAGGATAAGAAAAAAGTAAAATAATGTTTGGATAAAAAGAAAATAACTTCAGGATATTCTGATATATAAGAATTTAAAAAGATAATATAACAAGAGAATGATAAAATGTGATTTAGAAAACAAGAATAGCATCAGTTCTCTGAAGATAAGAATCACATTTTGTCCATCATTAAATTTTTACCACCTGCCACACTTCTCAGAATATAATAATTATTTATTTTTTTTTTAAAGATTTTATTTGTTTATTTGACAGAGAGAGATCACAAGTAGACAGAGAGGAGGCAGAGAGAGAGAGAGAGAGAGGGAAGCAGGCTCCCTGCTGAGCAGAGAGCCCGATTCGGGACTCGATCCCAGGACCCTGAGATCATGACCTGAGCCGAAGGCAGCGGCTTAACCCACTGAGCCAACCAGGCGCCCACAGAATATAATAATTATTAAATATTAATCCAACTGGTGAGTAAATTCCCTTTAAAAGTGCTTAAACTTCTAGGTAGGGCAAAAAAAGAACCCATGTGGGAAACATTTCTCAGTCTAAGCATATGATTATGATGTCAGAATTACTTTCCCAAGTGCAACCTACTTTTTAATGGTGATTCATCTGCCACCCTTTTTCAATGGTTATCCTTCTCTAAGGTACACTTATTGAAGGGATAAAAAAAAATCAAGTCTCATGCAAAGACACTTTGGGATGCTTGTTTTACATTTTCATTTCTAGATGTATTTCCAGAAACACTGTTTCCATACTCTATTACCACATTACCACTTTATTTATAAATACAAATTTTGTACTGAGAATGTAACATATAAAACTGATGACTTAAAATACACATTAATCAAGATTTTGATCTTTTAGATAAATTCAGATATTGAAATAAAAATCTTTTCATACCTAAATCTTGATTTAATTTTGATACTGTCATATACAATTATATTTCAATTATGCAAGATTCTAAGTATTCAATTATATACTAAAGTAGAACTATACTTCAGCTGATACATCCAAAGATATAAAATGATAAATACTCCTATTCAAAATATACACATAATTCAGATTCTCTGTGTTGTAGACTACAAAAATCTTTCAGTGAAGACAAAAAACTTATTTAGTAAGTAGTACAAAACATTGACTGAGGCCTATGAAATGAAGCTATTTAGGGTTTTTTTCCCCAGTCAATTTTTAGAAGAAAATGTGTGCACATAATGGTCACTTCACTTAAAAAAAATCAGTAAAATAAAAAAGTGAAGCATACTCAGTGAGAAAAAGTGCTTAAAATGTTTTAAATATAAGTGAATACCAAGATATGGACTTGCTGACATTGTTTGGGGGATTGTTAAACTAAAGGTAATTGACAATATCAATTTAATAAGACCTCTGTTTTGTTACAATAATATCTTGAAAAAGAGTATAAGAACTAACAAAACCTTAAAATATATATAAAACAAAAATGCCCCCATGATCCGTGGTAGATTTATTAAAACCAGTGACAGTGTGTTATTCACTAGTGTCTTCTCTTGAAATGATTCCAAGAGTTGCCATTATTTTAGATTTCTCAGAAGAGACTGATGCAATCAGTACAAATTTATAATGCTTAATTTGACTCTATATAATAAAAGAAATTTTCTAGAAGAATCACTAAATTACTTGGAATATAGCCACTAAGTTTTCGAAGGAACAATACCAGACTTATGGTATCTGAATATTCAGTGATTGATAAGCCACTGGCAAATCTATAGTTAAGTACAAGAAACTCACTGAGAATTAAGCATATTTGTTCTGCTAATTCTGGTATTCTTGTTGAAAGTAAAGTATATAGTTTTATTGTTGGAGTCTGTATTTCATTTTTTATAAAGGCTTTTATGTATTAGAAATCCAAGTAGTGTCTTGAATCTAGATTTGGAAAGATAGATAATAAAAGAACTTCCTTATTCATATAGAGGGATAGAAACCACCAAATATGTGCTTTCACTTATATCACAATATAAACATCACTCTTGAATATTAGATTTATGCCCTTTTCATTTACTGCCCTTTGAAAAATCAAATTTGGTTTTTAGTTTGTTCATCCATAATGGAGACTTCTGATTCAGCTGGAACAAAGGAGAACCAAAGGAATCCCCAACAGTATGGGAAAAGAAGTTCTTGATGCTGTGTTTTACCTCAGCTGGCTTCCCAACACCCACTACAATCAATTTGCCATCTTCTAATCCTACAAGAATATGGCTGTATTCTTTGGTGACACAAACACAGTGGATAGGCATTCGCATGGCTAATGGGTTCATGCTGAGATTCAAACTAAAAGAGAAATAAAACACACACATAATTACATGGATACATAATAGATTCAGAGAATCTTATACCTGGAAGATAACCTAATGATCATCTGATTCTGGATTCTAATTTTACAGGTGTGTAACTTAGATTCAGAAAGCCTGAATGACTCACCCAAGGGCCCACATTACAGCATTACTTAAAATATATACTGGTTTTTTTCTAGTCTCAACATCTGTTTTTCTTCTAACCATATATACGATCTCTCATGAAATGATTTTTACCTTGTTGATTAAAAAGTTAAAGTAGAATAAAAAGGAAAAAGTTCAAAAAGTGTTCGTGTGCATGTTGGGGAGTAAAGTTGATAAAACTGTTCTATTTGCCTTGTCTTAGAAAGATGTAATATATAAACATATAAGATAAAACATAATAAAATAATATATAATATTTAAAAACAGAATGATATAAAAACATAACACAATACTCAATTATGGAAAATGTCCATGGCTTTTAGGATTAAAGAATAAAGAATCCTCTGATGTACACACTATGTTTGGACAAACCTGCTAAAAGATCTCATTCATTTTTCTGATCTGTGGTTCTATTTTTTTTTCCCCTCACTACTGATCTGGGATTCTCTTAACAATACTGTAAAAGAAAATGTTGGAAAGATATGATTCAAATAGGGACTCAGTGCTTTACTGCTGGAGAAAGAATGACAAAACTAAGAAGAGAATTACAAAAATGGGGAAAGGATGTTGGTACAGAAGTGATTCTGATATGAATGTGGTAAGAGAGAACACCCTGGGATCAGGAAATGATTTATAAGAAAGGTTTGGGAGGGGCCACGACCGTCTCAGGAATATAAATATAAATATAAACCATAATAAATTTTTTAAAAATGGAGGAAAGGATATATTTAGGAATAAAAGGAATAACAGTGCTTTGTATATATGTTAGTAAATATGAAGAATATAAAACTTAAAAACATATCCACTATTTAAACATCCTTTTCCCAGTGCTTTAAATAATAAGACTCCCCACCAATTTTACATATACATAATACACAATCATGAACAGATACATTAGCCTTAAAAATACTTTAGCTTGTTTTGCCACTGTTAAAAACAATTTTTAAGACCTAGCTGTAGTTTGTAAAAATTCAAACTATAATTGAACAAATTTACAAATCTATAATCCAGGCTTGGCACAATGAAAATTCTTTTTCTGGCTTTTTAAAAAAAAATTTACTATGCTAAAATACACATAACATAAAGTTTCCTACATTTTTAAAACATACATCTATATTTCATTTACTAATCCAGAAATAATTTAGCTTCCCCAATTTTTTTCAGAGTTGTTAAAAATGACAGGTTCACAATAAATGATAAACTTTACAAAAGATTAGAAATCTGTGATTGCTGATTTCTACTCTAGGCTGCAAGTATTACTACCTTTTCTTTCTTTCTTTTCTTCTTCTTCTTTTTTTTTTTTTAATATTTTATTTATTTATTTGACAGAGAGAGAGAGATCACAAGTAGGCAGAGAAGCAGGCAGGAAGTAGGCTCCCTGCCGAGCATTGAGCCCGATGCGGGACTCGATCCCAGGACCCTGAGACCATGACCCAAGCCGAAGGCAGAGGCTTTAACCCACTGAGCCACCCAGGCGTCCCTCTTTCCTTCTTTTTTTAAGATTTTATTGTTAAGTAATCTCTACATAAAACATGGGATTCGAACACACAACCCCAAGATCAAGAGTTGCATGCTCCAGTGAGGTGCCCCTATTACCACCTTTTCTTAAGTCAGACTTCAAAGAATCTTATTATTTACCTGTGGAGATTTCTTATGGACAGGAAGCCTTGTAAGCTGCCCGTGATAATATGTTCTCCAGTGATACATATATCTGATACTTGTTCTGTCAGGACTTGGGACCCTAGATACTTGCCATTTATGGAAAACAGATGTAATGCATTCTTATCCTGTAAAGATTAGATGAAGAAAATTTAATGATCTCATATGAAAATGGGGTTTTAATACTGGCAATTAAAACTGTGACTATAACAGAATGACTACTGGATTTAAAATTTTGAAATAAACATATAGTTATGTTTATTTTTTATTTTTATTATTTTTAAAGATTTTATTTATTTATTTGACAGAGAGAAACACAGCAAGGGAGGGAACACAGGCAGAGAGAGTGGGAAAGGGAGAAGCAGGCTTCCCACCGAGCAGGAATCTGGGATCACAACCTGAGCAGAAGGCAGCCACTCAACCAATTGAGCCACCCAGGCGCCCCTACAGTTAGTTATATTTAAAGAAAAAGTGTGTAGACAATATTATTACTGTGATTTTAAATGAGAAGTAGCTGTATATTTTAAGAAAATATTTAAATAAGTAATTGCCAAGTAAATAAATATTAAACAGGGACTCTCATCCCTCCAAAAGAATTAAAATCTCACTCAGCCTAAAAAAAATCCCACAATACATTTTTTTAAGCCCCACATTTTTAACACAGAACAAAAAGACTCTCTTAACTTTTTTTAAAGCTACAGTTTTTTTAAAAAAAATTTATTTTAAGTTATCTCTACGCCTAGTGTGTGGCTTGAACTCATAACCCGGGGATCAAGAGTTTCATGCTCTACCAACAAAATTTAAAAAAATTTAAAAAAAAAATTTTTTTTTTTTTTTGAGAGAGAAAAAGAGAAAGAAAGAAAGAATGTATGTGTATATGGGCATGCAAGTGGGGGAGAGGCAGGGGGAGAGAGAGAGAAAGAGAGAGAGAGAGACAGAATCCCAAGCAGACTCCCCACTCAGTGGGGAATCCAATGCAGGGTTCAATCTCACGACCCTGAAATCATGACCTGATCTGAAATCAAGAGTTGGATGTTTAACCAACTAAAGCCACCAGGCCCCCGGTTCTCTAAATTTTATTATTTTAAAAAATATTTTAAAAAAGATTTTATTTATTTGAGAGAGAGAGAGAGAGAGCGAGCGAGCACGTGAGCGCATAAGCCTGGTGAGGGGCAGAAGGAGAGGAACAAGCAGACTCCTTGAGCAGGGAGCCCACCTTGGGGCTCAATCCCCAAACCCCAGGATCATGACCTCAACCAACTGAGCCACCAAGGCACCCCATCAGTGCTCTAATTTTTTAAAAACCTTGACCATGGAAAGAAAAGGAATATAATTCATAGCTCCTTTATACCCAACCTGTACAAAAAGAATTTAATTTGGTTATAATTTCCACTGAAGCTTCTGAAGTCCCACATAACCAGAAATTCTTTTTGCAATCATATATTATATAGATCAATAGAAATCCCTAAAACAAAATATGAACATGAGGCCAACACTATGATGGGGTCCATCTAATGGTAAGGAATAAACAAATTAAAAGATGAACATATCCTTTTAAAAATATGGTGTTCTTCATCAAAATGCCTCATATATACAGTATAACATGGAAAGAAAAAGACAGGCTTATAGATAGTCTAGCCCTCCTGCATGTAACTGTTATATACCTTGAGATTGGTCTTTTCTTCAATGCTGGAATAGATAACAATATGTCCTTCCCGAGATATAGCCAAATTAGGAACAGTCAGGAGCACAGAACTCTCAGAAGGTGGCCGTAAAGTCCTCATGTATTGACCTTTCTGAATGGTATGTATAATCACAGTGCCATCCTACATACAGAAAATAGTAGAGTATAAAAAAGAGAAACAGAACAACAAAAAAGAAGGCCAGATAAATAAATACAGGAAATGAACTCAGAAAATGATTATTCTACCAAGGACTCACGTTATCTTAGGAAAAATTTCAATCTTGAAATTTGAAATAGTATTTTATTTCATGAGATGCTCTCTTTCTGTAACTAATAAGACCAGTAAATTACCAAAGTAGAATCCAGTCTTTTTAAGTTTCTTCTGTGTTATGCTACTTCTGCAAAGTCCTACACAAACAATAAAGAATTCCTATACTTTTACCAGTCCCCCTAGAAGAAAAGTTGTCATTCTAATTTTAACATATGTGCCTCCAAAGCAAGTATGAAAATAAATATAAATATTCCTTCTCAATTTGTAGAAAAAAACTAGCATTTTTTTTGAAGATTTATTTATTTATCTTTAGAGAGAAAGTGAGGGACGGGGGGCAGAGGCAGAGGGAGAGAGAATCTTAAACAGACTCCCCACTGAGTATGGAGCCCAAGGTGGGGCTCAATCCCATGACCCTGAGATCATGACCTGAGCCAAAATCAAGAGTCGGATGCTTAACTGACTGAGCCACCCAGGCACCCTGAAAAAAGTGAGCATTTCTTAAAGGTGAAATCTTACCCTTGATCCTGACACTGCCATATCTAGTTCAGTGCTGATGCCAACACTCAATACCTCATCGGTGTGTCCATACAGAATCTGAAAGGGTTTAGATGCTAAGCCCACAGGAACACCTCCCTAATGTCAAAAGAGAAGCAAAGGTTAATTTTCTAGTAGGCTATTTTCTACAAAAAGGTTTATACTATATTTAAATTGTCTAATCGCAAAGTAATATTGCAACTAGTTCTTACCACAGCATCTATTCATAACAAGACTCATTCTTGTGTTCCTCCTTGGATTCTCAAATTATTCTCAGTCCTTTGAAGCTCCAAAACTTAATCTGAATCATTTCCAAGTTGACTGCATTGGATCAATTCTAACAGGTGTATTTTTTGTCCTTTTCACCCACAGATTTGCTCTTCCTGTACTACAAATAAACTTCATATTCTTTCTCTGAATACTTTTCTTTCTTTGTTTTTGGTTGACATAAAATGTCTTTTCTTTCTTTTTTTTTTTTGGTTGACTTAAAATGTCAGGTATACAACAATGATTCAACAGTTCTGTAAATTATGTTAATACTGACCATGGTAAGTGTAGTTATCGCCTGTCACCACACAACATTATTACAATATATTAGCTATGGTCCCTATGCTGTATCTTTGTGACTTATTTTATAGAACTTAATTATTTTAAATATTTCATTTTAATAATTTGATATTCAGCCACATCAACTCTGTTGCTTGTTGTTTCTACTTTTGAGTTTATTTATTATATTTGTAATGGTATTGGTTTTAATATTGGTTTGATTCTTCTGCAATCACCCTTTTCATCTTATTTTTTTTAAGATTTATTTATTTTTAGAGAGAGAGAGAGAGCACACACATGAATGAGTGGGAGGGAGGGGCAGAAAGAGACGGAGAGAAGCAGAACCCCCACTGAGCGTGGATCTGGATGCAGGGCTCCGTTCCATAACCCAGAGACCATGACCTGAGCTGAAATCAAGAGTCAGTTCCTAAGCCGACTGAGCTACCCAGGTGACGATTCTTTCCATCTCTCTCTCTCTCTCTTTTTTTTTTTTTTTAAAGATTTCATTTATTTATTTGAGAGAGAGAGAGAAAGTGAAAGAGCACAAGCAGGGGGAGCAGTAGAGGGAGAGGGAGAAGCAGAATCCCCACGGAACAGGGATCCTGACGTGGGGCTTGATACCGGACCCTGTGATCATGACCTGAGCTGAAGGCAGATGTTAAACCGACTAAGCTACCTAGGTGCCCCTCCTTTTCATCTTATTACGCCACTGTGTGATTTCATCTTTGAGGTCCTTCATGTTTTATTGAATTGATATTATATTCTTCTAATAACACAATTTTATTGCAGAGATCTCTTTATACTTGAGTTGTTGTCTTCACCTGTGTTTAGCATGTATTGTTTGTACATTACTTTCTATATATAGATATAGAATGTTTGAGTAGTTGCCATGGTATTTGTTTTATAATTATATATAGAGTACATATCTATACTCTTACTCTATATTAAACTTAAAGAAAAGTTAATTACCAATGGATTAAAGATTCAAATGTAAAAAAGAAATAAAGAAAAATATTACAAGAAAATTTTTAGGTAATTATTTTAACAAATTTGGAAAAGAAAGACTGTTAAGCAAAGTAGAAAACCTAAAAGCCATAAAGAAAAAGGACACTTTCTTGAAGGAACATTATGAAGAGTATAATACGGTTGATGAAAATAATAATCATCAATTTTTAGCAGTCCCACCACAAAGGAAGATAAAGTGTAACTACCTGTTGTGTTATTTGCCATATCATACATGTAGTATCTCTGGAACCAGAAATCAAATGTATTCCACAATAATCTGTAGCTAAACAAGTCACAATATCTGTAAGAAAAAAGGAATTACAAAGGATGAAATGGTGTGGTTTTTCTGAATAGAGCTCTAAGAGCAATTTTAATTTATATTCTAACTATTACTAAATCAGTTGTTTTAGCAGGAGAAGTGTTAAGAATGGCAACAGAAAAGCACTGGGAAAGGGTGACACAGGAAAGAAGCAGTATTTTTTTTTTTAAGATTTTATTTTTAGGGATCCTGGGTGTAGACACCCTGACTCTAGACTTTGGCTCAAGTTGTGATCTCAGAGTTGTGATATCAGGCTCTGAGTTGGGCTCTGTGCTAAGAGTGGAGCCTGCTTGGGATTCTCTCTCTCCCTTTGCCCCTCTTCCTCCCCAACTCCTCCTTTCTAAAATAAATAAATAAAATCTAAAAAAAAAAAAAAAAAGAATGTTAAAGATTTTATTTTTAAGTAATCTCTGTACCCAATGTGGGGCTCCAACTTACAACCCTGAGATCAAGAGTCACATGCTCTACCAACTGAGCCAGCCAGGCACCTCAGGAAAGAAGCAGTGTTACTACTGGGTATTTACCCCAAAGATACAAATGTAGTGAAAAGAAGGGCCACCAATGTTCAAAGCAGCAATGGCCACAGTCACCAAACTGTGGAAAGAACCAAGATGCCCTTCAACAGACGAATGGATAAAGAAGATGTGGTCCATATATACAATGGAATATTATGCCTCCATCAGAAAGGATGAATACCCAACTTTTGTATCAACATGGATGGGACTGGAGGAGATTATGCTGAGTGAAATAAGTCAAGCAGAGAAAGTCAATTATCGTATGGTTTCACTTACTTGTGGAACATAAGGAATAACACGGAGGACTTGGGGAGATGGAGAGGAGAAGTGAGTTGAGGGAAATCAGAGGGGGAGACAGACAAACCATGAGACTGTGGACTCTGAGAGACAAACTGAGGGTTTTGGAGGGGAGGGGAGTGGTAGGTTGGGTGAGCCCAGTGGTGGGTACTATGGAGGGCACGTATTGCATGGAGCATTGGGTGAGGTACATAAACAATGAATTTTGGAACACTGAAATTTTTAAAAAATGGAAAAAAAAAAAAAAAGAAGCAGTGTTAAACTCAAGTAGGAGAGCTTTGAGAGTGAAGAGTATACACGGGGCAGGGAAATGTCTGCTGGAGTCCGGGCAGTGGGTGAGGTGGCTTGGAATGGATTCCCAGGAAGTTTTGATATGCTTCTCTGCTCTCTTACTCTCTCATTCCCATTCACCTTCTACTCCCATTAAGCACTGCAATCCTGTGGAATATGTACCTCTAACCAAATTAGTACATACTACATTGCAAATTCTCAATATGAAATAGATTTTTTTACTAAACAGTAAAAACCTGAACTAAGTGTCATCTCAGGAGTCACCTGTATAGAATTAGTAGCAGACTCCATTTCCCTTTCCTAATAGGTATACTAGGGGAAAATCTACATGGTCTTTTGTTTTTAGAGACAGCGAGCGTAGAGAGAGGGAGGGACCGAGGGGCAGAAGGAAAGAGAATCTTTAACAGGTTCCATGCCCAGCGTGGAGCCCAGTGCAGAGCCAGACACGGGCCAATCTCACATCCCTGAGATCGCAAACTGAGCCGAAATCAAGAGTCAGACACTTAACCTACTGAGCCACCCAGGCACTCCCACAATATTTTATTCTTTTACTGAAGGCTGAAACACTAAGAAGCACCAGGTTAAACTACCTTCAGTAATTTACCTCCCTCATGCTTAACTAATAGGGCAGGAGATATCTTATTCAACAATGACAGATTATTTTTTTTTACCACTTTGTCTTAAAATTCTTATTTGTATTAACTAATTTTTATTTATTTTTATTTTTAAAAGATTTATGTATTTTGAGAGAGAGGTGGGGTAGAGGGAGAGGGAGAGAATCTCAAGGAGACTCCTTGCTGAGTTGCAGAGTCAATATGGGGCTCCATCCTACTACCCTGGCATCATGACCTGAGCAGAAATCAAGAGTTGGGTATTCAACCAACTGAGTCACCCAGGTACCGGTTTTCAACTAACTTTTTAAAAAAAGACTTAGCCTAACATTGTTCAGATACTATAAAGCTGTATTTAGTTTGTATAGTATTTAGTATATCCCAAATACATAAATACTCTTAAAGAAACCATAATGCTCTTAACACTGCTCTATCAAAAAGTCTACTTAGCTTCAAAGGTAAATTTTAATGCTTTCTATAGGAACATGTACTACTTTTGTAGTTAGAAGAAAGTGAAACTTTTCTTTTTTGGGGAAAAAAAGTTAATACTTACCCATGTGTCTAATATTGTGTGAAATAATTTTGCCTTTTGTAAGTGACATCACTTGAATGCTATTATCCCAGTGTCCAGCACTGAAAAGCAACTTCGCATCATGTGATACTATGAATAGCTTAGAAGTGATCTCCAGCCCTGGAGCAAAAGGACCATTCATAATACGCTGAGTTCTGTAAACACAATTAAATATTAGACTTTTCCTTAAAAGATCACTTAGGCTGATACCAATTATTTTTTAAATCTCTCTGAAAAAGAAAAAAAATTAATCTGTTCAACCATTCAATTTGAAATGTCCATTAGTGAATGATAACAACTTTCAGAAAATATATTAATAGTATTCATATTTTTTATTACATAAGAAGGTACATAACAAATAGTCTCAAGGGTTAAGCTAAGAAGTTGAGACTGGTGAAGGTGTGGAAAAGATTTAAGTCTTGCCTTTCAAAGCCAATTTGGAAGATTGTCAATTCTGTAAATGGTAGTATCAAAGTATAAAGGACAAGATAATGATATGACAGGATGAGGAAAGTTGGAAATCAACTGAAAAAAGGAATCTACTGCACAGGCAGATAAATGTGTACTTAACAATACTCATGAAGATGATTTCTCACTCAAACGAAAGCAAGGATATGGGTTTTAACTGCTTTCCTGTGAAATAAATACCTGTGAGGTCAGCCAATCTAGATTTTGCAGACACACAATGAAGTTATACACAACCAATGAATCATTGAATACTACATCAAAAACTAATGATGTACTATATGTTGGCCAACTGAACATAAAAAAAGAAGTTATTACACTTCAGTGTGTACACAGAGAATGAGGGTCAATCTGACAGTTCAGCTCTAGAACATTATTATTCAGTATTAATTTGCTGAAGGTATGCTTTGTACCAAGCACAACAGTACTAAGTTCTGCATGGGATAAGAAGGAAAAAAGACATCGCTCCTAATAAACATACAGCTAACACAACTCAGAGTAAGGGAAACATTACTTGAATTTAAAATGTAACCTTTGGATATTTAAAAAATTAACTAAGGTAATAAATAAATAAATAAATAAATAGATTTTAAAAATCTAAAAGAAATAAAGTAAAATTAAAAAAATAAAAAATTAACTAAGGTACATAATAAATTCTTATATAAAATACACAAGGCTTATTTATAAGTAAAATTGTGCAATAAAAATACGATCAAGCCTAAAAACTACTAATAATTTCTTTTTTTTTTTTTTTTTTTAAGATTTTATTTATTTGTCAGTGAGAGAGCAAGAGAGAGAGAGAGTGACGAGATCGGGCGCGTTCAGGGTGGTATGGCCGTAGACTAGAGAGAGAGAGTGCCACAAGCATGGGGAGTGGCAGGCAGAGCAAGGAGCCTGATTCAAGATTCACTTCCACGACTCTGGGATCATGACCTGAGCTGAAGGCAGACGTTTAACTGACTGAGTCACCCAGGTATCCTAATTTCTGTTTCTATAATGGTATTATAAAAATTATTTTATCCTGAAGCCAGGAAGAGGGAAAAAGGGAAGAAAATCTACATGTCTCCTGTATTACTTTCCAAATGACACCAATCAATTTAGTTGTTTTTCCTGGCAATAAGGTACCAGGTACACCTGTTTTGCTTTAAATATTCATTTACTTACTTTGGATTTGTTACAGTTTGATCTCTGATGAATGTAAAGTAATTGGAAATGTTTCTGTCATAAGGCAGCCATCCATGGGTTCCAACAATGTAATTCATGTTTACTGTTACCTGGTAAAGAACATATGAAGACAAAAATGAAATAAAAGATTAAAGAAAGCAGCACAAAATAACGAAATGCTCATATGATGTTAGCATTTACCATTTAAGGAATAATGTGGGATTGTGTACTTAAAGCACAAAATTCATTAATTCTTTTTCTCTTTAAGATTTTATTTTTAGGTAATCTCTATACCCAAAGTGGGGCTCAAACTCACAACCCTGAAATCACATACTCCACTGACTGAGCCAGCCAGGTGCCTTGCATTAAGCCTTAATAATAATAATTAATAAAGTCTTAAAATGGAAAAATCTCATTGTCTATTCTTATCTTTTAGTTTATCTTATATCTCATGGCAAGACAAGTTGTTCAACTATCTTTCCTCTTTTTTAGATTTTATTTATTTGAGAGACACAGAGGGAGAGAGAAAGAGCATGATCAGAGGGAGGGGCAAAGAGAGAGGGACAGATTCCCTCCTGAGTGGGGAGCCCAACGTGGGGCTCAATCCCAGGACCCTAAGGTCATGACCTGAGCCTAAGTCAGATGCTTAACCGACTGAGCCACCCAAGGGCCTCTGTATCTTTCTTTAGTGAGATAATTTTCCTCCTCATTTCTCAAAGTTTACTAGCATCTATTAGTTGGCATTTGGAAGAAATTAAAAGTATTAAAAAGAAGCTCTCTCTTAGTGATAGTCATAGTGAATATTTTTTTTTAAATAAGATTTATTTATTTGAAAGAGAGAGAGAACAGGCAAGCACAGGGAGGAGGGGCAGAGTGAGAGAGAGAATCCCAAGCAGACTCCCCTCTGAGCACCGAGCCTAACACACAGGACTTTATCTCACAACCCTGAGATCATGACCTGAGCCAAAATCAAGAGTCAGAGGCTTAAGCAACTGAGCCACCCAGGCGTCCCTTTAGTGAATAATGAAAAGTCCCCCCCCCCCCCACCAAATTATAAAACAGATTACAAAGAAGATATAACTTAAAGAAATACAGGTATTAAAGGTGAAAAATCACAAGAATTCTACCACTGAAAGGCACTTTTTTTTGGGAGTATGTCTTTCTAGACTTTTTTTTCTAAGCAAACACACAATATACATAATTAGAAAAATAGGTTTAATTCTGGAATCTCTACTGATCCCTGTACTATATTCTTGTCTTATAATTTGTACATGACCGAATGTGAATAAGACAGACCTAGGTTTGGTCCATGTACCTGGGTCCCAGATCCCTTGCTTTCTAGCTCTGCAACTATGAGCAAATTACATTTGAGTTTTAATTTCTCATCTGTACAAGGGAAATAATAATAGTGCCTATCTCACAGGATTGTCGGTGGATTAAATTACAAAATTCATGTAAAGCACTAACATGTCCTGAGTGTATATACCTTAATCAATTTTGTATTATTTCTCATTTTCATTCTTTTACTGCCTTATAATATATTATAATAGATGATGTTATATTGTATTTTTCTTGTACAAAATTTTCTGGTATTTTCAGATATTTATTATTCCAAATAAACTTTAGAATTACAGTTAACTTGAATAACGCTATGAAACTAGAAGTCAACTTCAAGGAAAAAAATCTGCAAAGACCACAAATACATGGGGTTAAATAGCAGGCTCTTAAACAATGAATGGGTCAACCAGGAAATAAAAGAAATAAAATATATAGAAAGAAATGAAAATGAAAACACAACAGTCTGTCTTTGGGATGCAGCAAAAGTGGTCCTAAGAGGGAAGTATATAGCAATAGTGGCCTACCTCAAAAAGCAAGGAAAATCTCAAATATTCTAACCTTATACCTAAAGGAGCTAGAAAAAGAACAGCAAACGAAGCCTAAAGTAATAAATGATAAACTAATAATAATAATAATAATAATAATAATACAACAGATCAATGAAACCAGGAGCTAGTCATTTGAAAAAAATAATACAACTGATAAACCTGTAGACTCAATCAAAAAGAAAAGAGGTGTGCCTGGGTGGTTCAGTCTGTTAAATCTCCAACTCTTGGTTTTGGCCCAGGTCATGATCTCAGGGTTGTGAGATCAAGCCCCATATCAGGTTCCCCACTCAGTGGGGAGTCTGCTGGAGATGCTCTCCCTCTCCCTCTATCCCTCCCTTGCTTGCTTGCTCTAAAATAATAAATAAATCTTAAAAAAAAAAGAGAGAGAGAGAGAGGAAGTACCCAAATAAAATCATAAATGAGAGGGGAAAAAATAACCACCAACACCACAGAAATACAATTACAAGAGAATATTATGAAAAACTATATGCCAACAAATTGCACAACCTGAAAGAAACAGATAAAGTCCCAAAAATACATAAATTGCCAAAGCTGAAACAGGAAGAAATAGAATCTGAATAGACCAATAACCAGCACTAATTTATTTTTATTTTATTTAAAAACTTTTTTTAAAAAAAAATTTTATTTGTTTGACAGAGAGATAGAGCACAAGTAGGCAGAGCAGCAGGGAGAGGGAGAAGCAGGCTCTCAGTCTAGCCCGGAGCCTGATATGGGGCTTGATCCCAGGACCCTGGGATTATGACCTGAGCAGAAGGCAGCCGCCTAACTGACTGAGCCACCCAGGGACCCTGTCCAGCACTAATTTAAAGGGAAACACATACCCCAATATTTATAGCATTACTACAATAGCCAAATTAGGAAACAGCCCAAGTGTCCATCAATTGATGAATGGATAAAGATGTGGTCTGCCTATCTATACATAATGGAATACTACTTAGCCATAAAAAGGAATAAAATCTTAATATTTGCAATGACATGGATGGAGCTAGAGAGTATTATGCTAAGCAAAATTAGTCAGTCAAAAACAAATACCATATGATTTCAGTCACATGTAGAATTTAAGAAAGAAAACAAATGAGCAAATGGGAAAAAGACAGAGAGAGAGAGGCAAACCAAGAAACACACTGTTACCAGAAGGGAGGTGGGAGGGGAGATGGGTTAAACAGGTAAGGGCGGGGAGGCTGTTAAGGAGTGCACCTGTTGTGATGAGCACCAGGTGATGTATGGACGTGTTGAATCACAGTATTGTATACCTGAACCTAATATTACACTGTATGTTAACTAACTGGAATTTAAATTAAAAGTTAAAAACAAAACAAAACAAAACAACCATTTCTGATTCTAAAAACAGACCAATAATACTCAATAATAAAAAACAGACTCAATAATAAATTGAGACATATTTATTGAAATAAAAAAAAAGAATTACAGTTAAGTAATTGAAATAAAAGCTGTGTATCTAGAAGAGATGTATTTTAAAAAGATTTATTTATTTTAGAGAGAGCATGAGCAGGAGGGGCAGAGGGAGAGGGAGACAGAATCTCAAGCAGACTCCATGCTGAGTGTGGAGCCCTATGCTAGGCTCCATCGTAGGACCCTGAGATCATGACCTGAGATGAAACCAAGAGCTGAATGCTTAAGTGACTGTGCCTCTCAGGTGTCCTCAGAAAATACATTTTCATATTTGATCAAAATAATTCCATAGAAATCTTCTTTATATTTTTAAGAAGTCTTTAAAAATTTATTTTGTCAATTTTTTTGCTAAGTTTTTTGTAATGTATATTTTGTAAGTTTTTTGTAATGTATTTTGATGTAGCAGTGTGAAAAAAATATAAGTCAACTTACCAATAACTCAGGACTGCCTTGAGACATAAAAGAACGAGACTGATTTTTGGGGACAATGGCCTTTATTAGTGGGACACCATCACTAATTCCCTATAAAATAAAGACAGAGGCTTAGTGGCTAGTTCTGCTTATCTTTATTAGGTTTAAGTTACTGAAAACTTCTATTTCTTTGAACAAGAATGAACCCTGTGAGACAGCATTTTACTCTTATCAAAATGTAACATTTAATTAAAATGTAGAAAAGGAGAATCATTATGCTGTACACTTGAAACTAATGTAACATTGTGTGTCAAATAATACTTTTTTAAAAAGCCTAAAAAATGTAGGAAAGGAACTATGTACCATGTTTGAGTGGCATACTTCAAACTTCTAAAACCCGTAATTTTCTTGTATTCTACTACTCTGCTGTGAAAGAGAGATGCAGATTTCAAGGAGCATCAACCATTTAACACAGCCAATGATTTCAAATCTTTCCTTTTCCATTGCCATGCTGACATGAATATAAAGTAAAAAATGTAGACCATATAAGAGCATATTGCCCAATTAAGTCAAATACAATAACTGGTTATATTTTTATAGAAGTTCTTTTTGGGTTTAACCTTCAAAACATAGATCTATCCCATTAAGTGAGAAAATCCTGAATGATGGAACACTAGTACCAGAAAATAAAGTCCTTAGAAAATATCTGCCATTATCTTATTACAACATGAAAGAGAAGAGTGATTTGAACCAAGTTTTTTGATGTAACAGTAGTTCATAAATTATACCTCACATTTATTAGATAAATTATAACCTAACATTATTGGGTATATGTTATGTGTCAGGTATTATTCTAAGATACTTACTTGAATTAAATAAAGAATTATAAACCATACAAAATTAGTCCCTATCTCTTCTCTTCACTCTGTGAATCAAGAGAACAACTTACACTTGCACAAGCATAAATGAACATGGTGTTTGAAGAAATCCATTTATTAGGCCTTTGCTTTCACTGCTACCTCTGTTTTCTTTATCATTTTAGCAACTAGGAAGAGATAACTACAGACAGGCCTTCTCTTTTCATATGAATGAGTGGGGAAATAGCTCCCCCTACAATGATGAACAGGGATTAACAAATTACTAGCACCCAAGGATATTTATTGTGTTCTTTGTCCTGCTCCAGATTCTGGTCCTGGGGATAACTACCCTGTGACATGTTGGGTTCAAAGGGTTCAAATGTCACTGAATCTGCAGATGGAACTTGGAATGCATTATTCTATAAAAACAAAGTCACAAATTATTAGACATGATGAAATAATTTTATCACCATTGCATAATATAGTATAACATGTCCATCAGATTATGTGTTCAATAATGGGTTGTCTATGTGCAGTGAAGAGTTATCATAGCAGGCTCGAAATAGTCTCCTTAGAACGGCCTGCCTTTAAGGTTGGCCCCTGGCTTGCATCTGGGAACTTGGTGGTCAGAGCTCCCTACACTGATACAAAACTTGTCCTCAACGATATAAACAGCTCGTTATTCATAGATTAATTGTGTAAACAACATGGTTTATGCTGAAGACCCTATTTTCTCCTGGGAGTCTGGAATTTTGGCATGTACAAGGCACATGTGACCAGCCCCCAATAAAAACCCCGAGTGTTGAGTCTCTAATGAGCTTCCCTGGTAGACAAACATGTGTTTTCACATTTCATTACTGGGAGAAATAAGCATGTCCTATGTGACTGTCCTAGGAGAGGATTCTTGGATACTTGCCCCTGATTTCCCCTATACTCCACCCCATGTGCCTTCGTCCTTTGCTGATGTTGTTTTGTATCCTTTCACTGTAATAAATTTTAGTTGTGAGTACAACCATATGTTGAATACCCTGAGTCCTTCTAGCAAATCATCAAACCTGAGGATGGTCTTAGGGACCCAGAACACATCCAGGAATTAGTCATCTTTTCTTTTATCTTTCTTTTTAAAAGTTAAGCTCTATGTCTAACATGGGTCTTGAACTCATGATCCTAAGATCAGGAGTCACATGCTTTACTGACTGAGTCAGACAGGGGCCCCAAAATAGTCATCATTTCTAAGCACTGTTTCTATGTATGCCAAGTTCCAGGCAACTGACTTAGATACTTTGGGAAAACAACTGATTCTGGAGAGTTTGTATTGTTAAACACTAAATAACTGTATCTCACTAAACATGAATCTAGGAAAGGAGTGGCAAGAATTAATTATGAAGTGTTTTCAGAAACATGGGGAAACATTTAAAGTACTATAGAGTTTAGTACAACATGATTCATTTGAATAAAACCCAGTATAAAGCTAACTATAATAGAAACTTAATAAAATTTTTTTACACCAAATTATTTAAAAATTCTAAAATTATTTCCCGTGCTAGTGAACCTAAGAAACACATTATAATGATGTTCTAAGGCAGGATTTGACAAACGGCCTATGGTACAAGTCCAGCCTACCACCTGTTTTATAGGCTGTGGGTAAGCAAAGAATGGTTTTTACATTTTTAAACGGTTCTATTTTAAGTGGTTACATATGTACCTATATAACATTCTTGATTTTACCTTTTGACTACAGAGTCTAAAATATTTATTATCTGGCCCTTTAAGAAAAGTTTTCCAATGTCTATTGTATTGTGTGAGAGCTATTGCTTTTTTCACACATTTCCAAACTATTCTTTATAACTTTTTATCATCATTTTTTCTTCTTGCCAAGAATATTATGTCTTAACCAAATTCGTAGGTATAAATGCATTTCACATTTACACTGTGAACGAAAGTAATTCAGTATGTATATAAACGTTAGAATTTAAAGTACTCTTTCAATTATAGCAATAACTATCCTGTTTTACTTGATTATTCCTTCTGATATTAGCAATTAACAATCTGACTTATTGGGACATATTTTATAAATGAGCAGACACTATAATTAGGAGTTATTTTACACTCTCTCTACGTATCATTTCAGCTGTCATGAAAAGCAATTTAAATCAAATTATTTATTCTTCCTTGTCTGGAAAGTGTGAAGTAGAAGACAGCAAGCCAAGAAAAATAGGTCTCACTACCACTCAGCAGCAAACAAAAACCTCCAGCAAGATTGTTTTAAAAACCAAAAACATATTATTGCAATATTACTTACTTACTATTTTGGATTAAATATTATGACCCCCCCTCCTTTAGAGAATAAAAGGAACATTGATTGGTGTATAGAATTCACAGAGAAAATGCTTTGATATTACCAAGTTGGATATTACCTCTATAAAAAATGACTTGAGTTCGGAGAGATGTTGAAATACATTTAGGGTTGAAGTGTCTGTTTTGGTCTGCTTCTGCACTGCTTCTTCTGCTGACAATCTAGGAGGATGTGGTTCCTTCAAAATAATTTTAAGAAAAAATAACTCCATAACTATATTAAGACATCTCTCACTGTATTCCTGCAGCCATACTGGACTCTAGCTACAATGGATTACATACCATGAACTGTTGACAAATTCTAGGCCACTGTTCAGAATACTCCTTCAGCAGAGTTTTTATGCTGCTCATTTCTAGAGAAACCCTAATTCTACTTTAAAGTTTTTCTTACTGATGTCTGTCTTGAATTTCTAAGCCAGAATTAACAATTCTCTTTTATTATTTTTACTAGCACACTGTTTTGTTTAGTATTTTATTTAGTAATTATTTCTGTGTTGGATTATGTAGTTGTTTATGGTCTATCTTTTCCAACTAGGCAATGGGTATCTTTTTAAAGATTTTTAAAATAATTTTTAAGTAATTTTTAAGTAATCTCTACACCCAATATGGGGCTTGAACTCACAATCCTGAGATCAAGAGGTGCATACTCCACTGACTGAGCTAGTCAGGTACCCTTAGGCAAAGGTATTGTAAAATCAGAAAACAAATCTTACTCATTTTTGGATTTTTGATACCCAGAATAGTGTATTGAGTGTGATAGATGCTTAATAAATATTTGGTAAAATTAAATGAATCATTCAAAAGTCAAAATTTATATGGGTAAATCCTTATTTCCTGAAATAAAAATCAAAATGTCAATACTATCAAAATCAAATTATAAATATTGCTGCATTCATTTTCAAATAAAATATTCTTCCTTAACTTTAATGTCAGCAACACAGAACAGTGTTACCTTTATTAAGTAAGAAGTAGGGGCGCCTGGGTGGCTCAGTGGATTAAGCTGCTGCCTTCGGCTCAGGTCATGATCTCAGGGTCCTGGGATCGAGCCCCACATTGGGCTCTCTGCTCAGCGGGGAGCCTGCTTCTCCCCCTCTCTCTGCCTGACTCTCTGCCTACTTGTGATCTCTCTCTCTGTCTAACAAATAAATAAAATCTTAAAAAATAAATAAACAAACAAATAAATAAGAAGTAAATGGCAAATCAAATTAATAAGCAAAAAGTATAATTAAAATATATAACAGAATTCCATCTAAAGGGGATTTTTCTATATCACAAAATATTAGATGACAGAAAATAATATGACAGCTATAAGTACTTCAATATTTAGCTCTCAATCCATATGAGTACTATTCACTTTATTTTATTTTATTTTATTTTATTTTTATTCACTTTATTTTAAATCAAAGGCTGACTGGAAGTTAAGATGGTGGAGGAGTAGAGGGATCTAAGTTTGTCTCATCCCTCAAATACAACTAGATAGTTAACAAATCATTCTGAACACCCAAGAAATCAACTGGAGATCTGAGAAAAGAAATGCTGTAAGTCTAAAAGTAGAAAAGCAACCACTGTTTGGAAGGTAGGAGGTACAGAGACTTGCATCCAGTGTGAGAGAGCTGAGGATACAGCAGTGGGGAGGAGGCCTGCTTAAGGAGGCAACCACAAAGCATCATAAGCAGCTGAGTGCAAAATCAGAACTTCTGGAAGATTGCTCCTACAGTGAGGGACATGCCTGGCTTATAGGTGCTCAGATGGTGAAGTGGGGCAGAATCCCAGGTGTGACAGCATGATCTGAGGATCCCTGGGGTCACAAGAAGAACGGGTGGCACCTAAGGGTGGCACAGTTCCCAAGTACAGGAGCAGAGAAGCCAGCTGACAACAGTGAGTCTAAGTGCCAGCTTTCTGCTCTGTGTTGCCATAAACTGATCCCCTGTGTGATCAAGTGACTGCTTTCCTGAGACAGGTTTCCCAAATGGCAGAAGGGTGGCAAGACCATCTCTGGGAGGAATAGGGCGGGTCCAAACCGTGGGAGTCCTTAAACTTTGGAATTTTGAAATTCAGTCAGGTGATAGGGATAAAAAAGCTTGGACATGGGGAAGGTGAACACAGAGTTCTGACAAAAATGCGGGAGACAAGAGTGAATGAGTGCTTTTCTGTGAGGGCTCACTGAAGAGTGGGGGGCACAAATTTTCAGCTTGGGGGGCTAAAAAACAGAGTCCTGCCATATTCATCCTGCCTGTCAGTGCTAAAGTCCTCAGGGAGCAAAAGAGAGCCACCTAGTGGAGTCTGCAGCCACTTACACCAGCCCCTGCCTCCCTGTGCAATGCAGGCACATTTCCACTACAGCAATTCCACCTGAGAATGAGCACAATGGGGCCCCTCTCCCAGAAGACCAGCACAAACAACTCCCCTGTACCAAGTCTACTGATCATAAAGGGCTGAAAAACTTCAGCTCTAGGGGAAAACAGTAGCTAGTATTCTTTGTATTGTTATTCTTTAGTCTTTCATTATTATTTTTTGTTATTTTCTTATTTTTTTCCAATTCCTTTTTAAATGTTTACTTTCATAAACACTACATAGATGTTTTATTTTTTGTTTCTTTTCATTTTGTGTGTGTATAATTTTCTTATTTTGGGATCTAGTTTATTTTCTTTTTAATATTTATTTGAGAGAGAGAGTACAAGAGAGATCATGAGTAAGGGGGAAGGGCAGAAGGAGAAGCAGACTCCCCAGTGAGCAAGAGCCTGATGTGGGACTTGATCCCAGGGCCCTGGGATCATCACCTGAGCTGAAGACAGATGCTTAACCATCTGAACCACCCACATGCCTGGGATCTAGTTTCTTTTAACAAGCAGACTAAAACACATCCAGGATTTAGTTTTTTTCTGTTGATATTGTTGTTTTTCTTTTTCTTTTCTTTTCTGGACATAATGACAAGACAGAGAAATTCACCCCAAAAGAAAGAAGGGGGGTTAGTATTCACAGTCAGGAATTTAATTAATACAGATATAAGTAAAATGTCTGAACTAGAATTTAAAATGATGATTATAAAGATACTAGCTGGGCATGAAAAAAGTAGAGAAGACCCTAGAGAATCCTTTATTGTAGAGATAAAAACTAAAATCTAGTCAGGTTAAAATTAAAAACCCTATAACTGAGATACAGACCCAAGTGGAGGCCATAAAAACAAGCATGAACAAAGCAGAAGAGTGAATCAGTGATACAGAAGATAGAATTATAGAAAGTAATGAAGATGAAAAGGAGAGGGGAATAAAACTATTAGAGCATGAAGGCAGACTTAGGGAGCTCAGCAATTCCAAAAAGTGAAATAATATCCATATTATAGGAGTCCCAGAAGAAAGGGGACAGAAGGTTTATTTGAACAAATCATGGCAGAGAACTTTCCGAACATGGGGAAGGAAACATACACTCAAGTCCAAGAGGCATAGAGAACTCCCTACAAAAGCAACAAAAATAGGTCAACACCATGACATGTTAATAGTGAAACTTACAAATTACAAAGATAAAGAGAAAATCCTGAAAGCAGCTTGGGACAAGAGGTCCTTAACCTACAACAGTAGACATGTAAGGCTGGCAGCTGACCTGTCCATAGAGACCTGGTAGGTCAGAAAGGACTGGCATGATGTATTCAATGAGCTAAATGGGAAAAATATGCACCCAAGAATACTTTATCCAGTAAGGCTGTAATTCAGAATAGAGGGAGAGATAAACAGCTTCCAAGACAAATAAAAACTAAAGGAATTTGTGAACAGTAAAGCAACCCTGATGAAAGGGGGCATATGAGCAAAAAAGATAAGAAAAGTAACAATGACCAGAAAAGAACATAGACAATCTACAGGAGTAGTGATTTTAAAGTAATACAGTGATACTGAATTCATATCTTTCAATAATTACTCTGAATGTAAATGGACTAAATGCTCTAATCAAAAGACATAGGGTATAAGAATGGATAGAAAAATAAGACCTATTGATATGCTGCTTAAAAGAGACTAATTTCAGACCCAAAGACACCTCCAGATTGAAAGTGAGGGTTATCTCCACCATTTATTATGCTAAGGGACATCAAAAGAAAGCTGGAGTGACCATCATCCTTATATCAGACAAACTATGTTTCAAATTAAAGACTGTAATAAGAGATGGAAAAGGACACTATATCATAATAAAGGCGTCGATTCAACCAGAAGATCTAACATTTGTAAATACTTATGCCCCTAACTTGGAAGCAGCCAAATATACAAATCAATTAATAACAATCTTAAGGAAAGTCATTGATAACAATACAATAACAGTAGGGGACTTTAACACCCCACTCACACCAATGAAGAGATCATCTAAGCTGAAGATTAACAAGGAAACAAGGGCTTTAAATGACACACTGGACCAGATGGACTTCACAGATATATTCAGAGCATTTCATCCTAAAGCAGCAGAATACACACTTTTTTTAGAGTGCACATGGAACATTCTCCAGAATAGATCACATACTGAGTCACAAATCAGGACTTGACCAGTACAAAAAAGACTGAGATCATACCATGCTATTTTCAGACCACAATGCTATTAAGCTTGAAGTCAACCACAAGAAAAAAATTTGAAAGGGCCACAAATACATGGAGGTTAAAGAACATCATACTAAAGAATGAATGGGTCCACAAGAAATTAAAGAATTTAAAAAAATACAGGGAAGCAAATGAAAATGAAAACATGACAGTTCACAACCTTTGGGATACAGCAAAGGTGGTCCATAATGAAGTATATACCAATATAGGTATACCTCAATATATACCAATATAGGCCTTCCTCAAGAAGCAAGAAAAGGCTCAAATACACAGCCTAACCTTACCCCAAAAAGAAGCTAGAGAAGGAACAGCAAATAAAGCCTAAATCTACCAGGAGAAGAGAATAAATAAAGATCAGAACAGAAATCAATGAAATAGAAACCAAAAGAACAGTAGAACAGATCAATGAAACTAGGAGCTGGCTCTTTGAAAGAAGAAGATTGATAAATCCCTGGCCAGACTTATCAAAAAGAAAAGAGACAGGACCCAAATAAATAAAATCATGAATGAAAGAGGAGAGATGACAACTAACACCAAAGAAACCAAACAATTATAAGAGAATATTACGATCAATTATATGCCAACAAATTGGGCAATCTGAGACATGGAAAAATTCCTAGAAATATATGAACTATCAAAACTGAAACAGGAGTAAACAGAAAACCTAACAGACCTATAACCTGCAAAGAAATTGAATCAGTAATCAAAAATCTCCCAACAAACAAAAGTCCAGGGCCAGATGGTTTGCTCAGGGGAATTCTACCAAACATTTGAAGAATTAATAATTCTTCTTCTGAAACTTCCAAAAAATAGAAATGAAAGAAAAATTTCCAAACTCATTCTCTGAGGCCAGCATTACCTTGATCCCAAAACCAAAGACCCCACCAAAAAGGAGAACCAAAGGCCAATATCCTGATGAACATGGTTGCAAAAATTCTCAACAAGAGACTAGCTAACAGGATCCAGTAGTACATTAAAAGAATAATTCACCATGACCAAGTGGAATTTATTCCTGGGCTGCACAGGTGGTTCGACATCTGCAAATCAATCAACATGATACACTGCATTAATAAAAGAAAGGGTAAGAACCACACGATCCTCTCAATAGATGCAGAAAAAACATTTGACAAAATATACAATCTTTTCTTGATTAAAAACCCTCCACAATGTAGGGATAGAGGGAACATATCTCAACATCATAAAGACCATATATGAAAGACCCACAGTGAATATCATTCACAATGGGAAAAACTGAGAGCTTTTCTCTTATGGCCAGGAACACAAAAGGAATGTCCACTTTCATCACTGTTGTTTGACATAGTACTGGAAGTCCTATCCTCGGCAATCAGAAAATAAAAAGAAATTAAAGGCATCCAAATCAGTAAAGAAGAAGTCAAACTCACTATTTGCAGATGACATGATACTCTATGTGGAAAACCTGAAAGACTCCACCAAAAAGTTGCTAGAACTGATACAGGAATTCAGAAAATCCCAGGATATAAAAATCAACACACAGAAGTCTGTGGTATTTCTACAGACTAACAGTGAAGCAGTAGAAAGAAAAATCAAGGAAATCAATCCTGTTCACAATTGCACCAAAAACTGTAAGATACCAAGGAATAAACCTAACCAAAGAGTTAAAAGATTTGTACTCTGAAAATTATAGAACACTTATGAAAGCAATTTAGAAAAGACAAAAATAAAATGGAAAAATGTTCCATGCCCATGGATTGGAAGAACAAATACTGTTAAAATGTCTATGCCACCTAGAGCAACCTATACACTCAATATATCTATCAAAATACCATCCACTTTTTTCACAGAGGTAGAACAAACGATTCTAAAATTTGTATGGAACCAGAAAAGACCCCAAATAGCCAAAGGAATGTTGAAAAAGAAAACCAAAGCTGGTGACATCAAAATTCTGGACTTCAAACTCTATTACAAAGCTATAATCATCAAAACAGTATGGTACTGGCACAAAAACAGACACATAGATCAGTGGAACAGAAGAGAGAACCCTCAACTCTATGGTCAACTAATCTTTGACAAAGTAGGAAAGAATATCCAATGGAAAAAAGACAGTCTGTTCAACAAATGGTGTTGGAAAATTGTACAGCCACATGCAGAAGAATAAAACTGGACCACTTTCTTACACCACACACAGAAATAAATTCAAAATGGAAGAAAGAACTAAATGTAAGATAGGAATCCATGAGAATCCTAGAGAAGAAAACAGGCAGCAACCTCTGTGACCTCGGCCACAGCAACATCTTACTAGATAGAGGTCTCCAAAGGGTAGGGAACAAAGGCAAAAATGAAAATTGGGACTTCATCAAGATAAAAAGCTTTGCACAGCAAAGGAAACAAAACCAAAAGACAACCAACAGAATGGGAGAAGATATTTGCAAATGTCTTATCAGATAAAGGGTTAGTACAAAAATCTATAAAGAACTTACCAAACTCAACACACAAAGAACAACTAATCTAATCAAGAAATGGGCAGGAGACATGAACAGTTATTTCTCCAAAGAAGACATATAAATGACCAACAGACACATCATCTGGCATAAGGGAAATACAAATCAAAACCACAATGAGATACCACCTCACATCAGTCAGAATGGCTAAAATTAATTACTTAAGTCAGGAAACAAGAGGTGTTGGTGAGGATGCGAAAAAAGGTGTTGGTGGGAATGCAAACTGGTGCAGTCACTCTGGAAAACAATATGGAGGCTCCTCAAAAAGTTGAAAATGGAGCTACCCTATAACTCAGCAATTGCACTACTAGGTATTTACCTCAAAGATACAAATGTAGTGATCTGAAGGGGTATCTGTACCCCAGTGTTTATAGCAGCAATGTCCACAATAGCCAGACTATGGAAAGAAGCCAGATGTCCATCAACTGATGAATGGATAAAGAAGATGTGGTGTATATATAGAGAACAGAATACTATTCAGCCATCAAAAAAGAAATCTTGCCATTTGCAATGACATGGATGGAACTAGAGGGTATTATGCTAAGCAAAATATGTCAATCAGAGAAAGATAATTATCATATGATCTCACTCATACATGGAATTTAAGAAACAAGGCAGATGAACATAGGGGAAGGGAAGGAAAAATAAAACATGATAAAAACAGGGAAGCAAACTGTAAGAAACTCTTAACTACTGGTAACAAACTGAGGATTGATGGAGGGGAGGTGAGTGGGGGGATGAGGTAACTGGGTGATGGGCATTAAGGAGGTCACCTGATGTAATGAGCACTGGGTATTACATGCAACTGACGAGTCACTAAATTCTACCCCTAAAACTAATAATATACTATATGTTAACTAAATTGAATTTAAGTAAAGAATTAAGAAAAAAATCAAAGGCTGACTTTTTTGGTAATTTTTTATGGTGATAAAAACTTATCAGCACTACTCTTATGAAAAAAGAAAAGTTTAAAGCTGGTACAAAAATATTATAGAATCTACTTTAAAGCTCAGTGAAGTGTTCTGTTTTCTTCTGTTACTTTTGCATTCTAACAGCAGATAGGTATAAAGCATTGATTTTAAATAGGACTATTCTGTGAAAAAAGCAAATGTTGGAGGCTTTAAACAAACTCTGCTAAGGAACAGTAGCAATTACAAACCTTAGTCTGATAACTGAATTAACAAAAGTTCAACATATTTATAGGCCACAATTTAGATACATTCTTGCTGTAACACTTGTGGAGATTCGATTTATAAATATTTACTACACAAATACTATATGCAAGAAACATATAAAATGATTAGGAACAGTTGCCGCCTGTAACATACTTATAATAAAGTGAGGCAACTAAGGCAGGAAATGTCATTATTAGGATATAAATAACAGCCCACAGAACATGGAAAGTGGTCTGAATTCAATAAAGGAGTTTACAGCTCTTAATTCAGAGGAGACATGGCATGGTAGAAACACTTCTAGGTTAGATGGTCATGAATCCAAATCCTGTTGCAGTAACATTTTAGTTGTTTAAACAAAATTAAGTGATTGGCTTTCTGAGTAAAAATAAAACTCTGCTGTGATTTAAGTTATTGACTATATATGTGGATTTTGACTACAATATTTTGTTATTTCAAAATAGGAACCATCATTTCAATCTATTTACTTTTTTAAAAATATTTTTTATTTATTATTTATTTGACAGATAGAGATCATAAGTAGGCAGAGAGGCAGGCAGAGAGAGAGAGAGAGAGAGAGGAGGAAGCAGGGTCTCCGCCGAGCAGAGAACCCGACGTGGGGCTCAATCCCAGCACCCTGGGATCATGACCGGAGCCAAAGGCAGAGGCTTTAAACCACTGAGCCACCCAGGCGCCACAATCTATTTACTTTTTAAGTGACAGTATAATTTTTCTTAAATTCTAGATAATTCTGAGAGATACAGTTTTAAATAATTAAAATATTCGAAAATGCTGGTAGTACTCCTTAGCAATTAAGTTTTAGACTTCCTATGTAATCAATAACATTTTTTTAATAATCAATAACTTTAATGATACCTTTAACAGTTGACAAGGTGTTTGCCCAAAATTATTAATCATCCCTTCTAAGGCTTTTCTTTCCTTCTCATCTGTTAAGGCATCCAGATCCACAGCTCCTAAAACAAGGAGAAGTAGTCAACTCACTACAGAGTGAAAACAAATCAGGAAGCCACACATGTTTATTAATATATGAGACTGAATAATGTATTTTCAACAAAATATCATTCTGTTCAATTTGAAAGAATACTGCGAAAAAGGCAATTTTTAATTTTTTTATACGATTTTATTTATTTATTTTATAGAGCAAGAGAGCACATGAGAGCTCGAGTAGGGTTGGGGTGGAGGGGGGAGAGGACCAGAGAGAGGGAGAGGGACAAGCAGACTACACGCTAAGTGTGGAGCCCAACTCAGGCCTTAATCCCACAAGCCTGAGATCATGACCTGAGCTGAAATGAAAAGTTGGACACTTAATCCACTGAGCCATCCCGGCACCCCAAGAGGCAATTTTTTAAAAAACAGTGACTCCAAACATTAAATATGTATAAAAATAAATTCCATCCATGATTTAGAACAAAAATATTTTAAGCAAAAGTTAACTGGTAGTGCATAAAAAAATTTTTCTTAAAAACGTACAAACTGGGCGCCTGGGTGGCTCAGTTGGTTAAGCCGCTGCCTTCGGCTCAGGTCATGATCTCAGGGTCCTGGGATCGAGTCCCGCATCGGGCTCCTTGCTCAGTGGGGAGCCTGCTTCTCTCTCTGCCTCTGCCTCTGCCTGCCGCTCTGCCTGCTTGTGCTCTCCCTCTCTCTCTCTGACAAATAAATAAATAAAATCTTTAAAAAAAAAAACTAAAAAACGTACAAACTATCTCACAGTACATCTACTTATTTTCTTCATGATAATCAAGCTGAACCAGGTATAATAATCACACAAAATACTACTGTAAGTTACTGCTTATCTAACAAATACTGGCATAGGTGATAATATCCAACTGTACTTGTTATGGTTAGTAAGTGGCCAAACTAGGGAAGTCGGATTTCAAAGTCTATGCTCATAACTACCATGCATACTAGCTCTCTACAAAACTATTACCAGATGAACATGGCAACACAAATACATGCTTGTCTATTTACCAAAAGGCATGTGGACTCTGTTCAAGTTCACATAAATTCACACTATTCACAATCTTTACTACTGAAGGATTAGAGAAAACTACTTCTTAAGGCTTTTAAACCCTTCAGAAAATGTTCTTGATTCCAAGCTAAACATTAGAATGAGGTCACCTTTTTTTTTTTTTTAAACATTTTAAGAGTTTGTTATTTATAATACTAAAGATCTTCTTTCAAAATCTGCTAACAATCAACACTGAGTTTTTATTTTAGGACCTGACTGAATAGGACACTTACGGCAAGTAATCTAAAATTTTATGCCACCAATAACTGACATTTATAAGATTTGCATATATACTTATTTTTTTAATCCCCTTTCACTCTTCCCTGCACCTATACCCCCTCTGGAAACCATTTAGTTTGTTCTCTGTATTTCAAGAGTCTGTCTTTTTGTCTTTTACTTTGTTCGTTTTGTGTTTTTTAGAACTTATTTACATCATTTTAAAATTCTAACAGTTTTTTTTTTTTAAGTTTTACTTAAGTTCCAGTTAACATAAAGTGTAATATTAGTTTTAGGTGTACAACACAGTAATTCATCAATTCCATACATCACCTGTAGCTCATCAGGACAAGGGCACTCCTTAACCCCATCACCTATTTAACTCCTCCTTCCATCTTCCTCCCCTCTGGTAACCATCAGTTTGTTCTCTATAGTTAAGACTCTCTTTCTGGGTTTGTATTTTTTTTTCCCCCCTTTACTCATTTCTTTTTTTTCTTAAATTCCACATATGAGTGACATCATATGGTATTTGTCTTTCTCTGACTTACATCTCTTAGCATTACACCCTCTAGATCCATCTATATTGTTACAAATGACAAGATCACATTCTTTTTTATGGCAGAGTAATGTTCCATTGTATATGTTTGTGTGTGTGTGTGTGTGTGTATATATATATATATATATATATATATCTCATATCTTATCTATTCATCTATCAACGGACACTGGTTGCTTCCATATCTTGGCTACTGTAAATAATGGTGCCATAAACATAAGGGTACAGAGCTTTTCAAATTAGTGTTTTCAAATTCTTTGGGCAAATATCCAGTAGTGGAATTACTGATCATAGCATACTTCTATTTTTAATTTTTTGAAAAACCTCCATACTGTTTTTCACAGTGGCTGCACAAATGCACAAAGGTTCTTTTTTCTCCATATCCTTGCTAACACTTGTTATTTCTTATGTTTATTATTGTAGCCATTCTGACAGGCATGAGATAATTTCTCACTGTTTCTTTTTTTTTTAAACTGTGGTTTTGATTTGCATTTCGCTGATGATGAGTGATGTTGAGCATTGTTTCATATATCTGTTGGCATCTGGATGTCTTCTTTGGAAACATGTCTCTTCAGGTTCTCTGACCATTTTTAAAATCAGATTCTTTTCTTTGGTGTTGAGTTATACAAATTCTTCATATATTTTGTATATTAACCCCTTATTGGATATATCACTTGCAAATACCTTCTCCCACCGAGTAGGCTGCTTTTTTGTTTTGTTGACAGTTTCCTCAACTGTGCAAAGTGAAGATTTGCATACATACTCTTAACTACTATTTTAAAAAACCACACATCAGTCTCTTAATATTTCAAATAGAAAAGATCATTAAAACAATTTTTAAATGTAGTCTTTCTCATGACCAAAATATCACATATAAACACCTATTAAATGATACTTTCCATCAATGGAATGTAAGATAAAAAGTATAATAGACTTATACCTTCGTAACTACAGTAATAGAAAACATTCAGTGCTTCCACTGCAGCTGGCCCCCTCTGTTTGTAGCCAAAAATCAGATCTATCCATTCATGAAGATGAGCAGAAACATATTCAGACTCCTAGAAAAAGAACACATAATATAGAGATACCTTCCAACTACAATGTAATCACTGGTCCTTTAAAAAAGTAAGAGAAGATTAAAAATTTCCACACACAATTCTTATCAAATAAAACTATTCCAAAATCATGTTAAAACATTTAATTAGGGGCGCCTGGGTGGCTCAGTGGGTTAAGCCTCTGCCTTCGGCTCGGGTCATGATCTCAGGGTCCTGGGATCGAGCCCCGCATCGGGCTCTCTGCTCAGCAGGGAGCCTGCTTCCCCCTCTCTCTCTGCCTGACTCTCTGCCTGCTTGTGATCTCTCTCTGTCAAATAAATAAATAAAATCATTAAAAAAAACACAAAAAAACATTTAATTAGTATCTATTACATATTTACATATATTCTATCTAGTTAATGTAGACATATTTATTAATATTTAATAATACATATATACTTCTTAAATAATGGGTAAGAAAATAACTCAATAGCCTAAATATCAACAACAAAAAACTTAATGATGGCTATGAATATATATTTGCTGTGAAATTTCCATTGAAATAGCTTTCTAGAAATTCAATTCAAAGAAACAAACCAGTTGGTGTTGATTAAAGGTGGCTGAAAGTCACTCCCTCCAACCTAGCCAATCTGACACCACCCCACTAAGAAGGTGGATTGTGTGGCAGGCAGAGGCTTGAAGGACCTCCTGAAGCCTGTTAGTTACGCTTTGAAAGACAGTATGGAAATTGTTATTGAGACAGGAGAAAAGGGGGCTCAAGTTTATTTCCATCAACGATAGGAAGAGTACCTAATCAACTCATGAATCTGGGGATAGATTTTTTTAATTTTTTTTAAAGATTTTATTTATTTATTTGACAGACAGAGATCACAAGTAGGCAAAGAGGCAGGCAGAGAGAGAGAGAGGAGGAAGCAGGCTCCCTGCTGAGCAGAGAGCCCGATGCGGGGCTCAATCCCAGGACCCTGAGACCATGACCTGAGCTGAAAGCAGAGGCTTTAACCCACTGAGCCACCCAGGCGCCCCTGGGTATAGATTTTTTGGTAATATTAGATTCTGGTGTACAACATAGTTTTTTAACACTTCCATACAGTGGGTGAGGGGATGGGTTAAATAGATGATGGGGATTAAGGAGTCCATTTGTTGTTATGAGCACCTGGGTGTTATCTGGGGATGGAGACTTTCATGCTAATTGTTTTTTTTAGCTGCCTGTCACAAAGTGTGGAAGGAGTAAGATGAATTTAAAAAAATAACTATTCATGCGGTGCCTGGGTGGCTCAGTGGGTTCATTGTCTTTCTTCAGCTCAGGTCACGATCCCAGGGTGGTGGGATGGAGTTCTGCATTGGGCTCCCTCCTCAGCAGGGAGCCTGTTTCTCCCTCTCCTCCCTGCTCATGCTATCTCTGTCTCTCTCTCTCAAATAAGTAGATAAAATCCTAAAAAAAAAAAAAAAAAAAATTCAGGTTTTAAGCACAATTTAAAATATATATAAAGGAGCAGGTCTTGCTGGGTTCTAATTAAAATTATTTCACTCCCTGGATACTAGAGAGCAGAGTCTTTAATTGAGAAATGGCCAAGGTCAGTGATCAAATCAAGAGAGTCACTAGTAAAATACGGCCTAAGGTGAAAGTTTAGTTCAAGACTGTAGCTGTGAAGCAATGTGCTGAGACTTCAAAGATTTAAGGCTGTGCTGCACAGACCGACTCAACTAGAAAATAGAACATTTTTTTTAAGTTTTAAAAAAATTAACATGTATTATTTGTTTCAGGGGTACAGGTGTGTTAAATCGTCAGACTTACACAGTTCACAGCACTCACCATAGCACATACCCTCCCCAATGTCCATTACCCAGCCAGCCTATTCCTCCCCCTACCCCCTCCAGCAACCCTCAGTTTGTTTCCCAAGATTAAGAGTCTATTATGGTTTGGTTTTTCTCCCTCACCAGTCCCACCTTGTTTCATTTTTCCCTCCCTCCCCCCACCCCTGCCTTGCCTCTCAAATTCCTCATATCAGAGAGATCATGTGATATTTGTCTTTCTCTGACTGACTTATTTCCCTTAGCATAATACCCTCTAATTCCATCCACATCATTACAAATGGCAAGATCTCATTTTTTTCTTGATGGCTGCATAGTATTCCACTATATATATATAGATATAGATCTATCTATCTATATATATACACACCACATTTTATCCATTCATCTAGGCTCTTTCCATAGTTTGGCTATTGTGGACACTGCTGCTATAAACACTGGAGTGCACGTTCCCCTTTGGATCACTGCGTTTGTATCTTTAGGGTAAATACCCAGTAGTAGGATTGCTTGGTCGTTGGGTAGCTCTATTTTCAACTTTTTGTGGAACCTCCATACTGTTTTCCAGTATGACTGCACCAGCTTGCATTCCCACCAACAACAAAGGAGAGTTCCCCTTTCTCCGTATCCTCACCAACATCTGTCATTTCCTGACTGGTTAATTTTAGCCGTTCTACTGGTGTGAGGTGGTATCTCACTGTGCTTTTGATTTGTATTTCCCTGATGCTGGGTGATGTAGAGCACTTTTTCATCTGTCTGTTGACCATCTGGATATCTTCTTTGCAGAACTGTCCGTTCATGTCTTCTGCCCATTTCTTGATTGGATTATTTGTTCTTTGGGTGCTGAGTTTGATAAGTTCTTTATAGATTTTGGATACTAGCCCTTTATCTGATATGTCATTTGCAAATATCTTCTCCCATTCTGTCAGTTGTCTTTTGGTTTTGTTGACTGTTTCCTTTGCTGTGCAAAGCTTTTTATCTTGATGAAGTACCAATAGCTCATTTTTGCCCTTGTTACCCTCACCTTCGGCTATGTTTCTAGGAATAAGTTGCTGTGTTCTCCTCAAGAATTTTGATGGATTCCTGTCTCACACTGGGGTCTTTTATCCATTTTGAGTCTTTTTTTTGGACGGTGTAAGGAAATGGCCAAGTTTCATTTTTCTGCATGTGACTGTCCAATTTTCCCAACACCATTTGTTGAAGAGACTGTCTTTTTTCCACTGGACATTCTTTCCTGCTTTGTCGAAGATAGTTGACCACAGAGTTGAGGGTCCATTTCTGGGCTCTCAATTCTGTTCCATTGATCTATGTGTCTGTTTTTGTGCCAGTACCATACTGCCTTAATGATTCAAGCTCTTTGTAATAGAGCTTGAAGTCTGGAATTGTGATGGCACCAACTTTGGCTTTCTTTTTCAACATTCCTCTCACTTATTAGGGGTCTTTTCTGGTTCCATACAAATTTTAGGATTATTTGTTCCATTTCTTTGAAAAAAGTTGATGGTATTTTGATAAGGATTGCATTAAATGTGTAGATTGCTCTAGGTGGCATAGACATTTTAACAATATTTGTTCTTCCAATCCATGAGCATGGAATGTTTTTCCATTTCTCTGTGTCTTCCTCACAATTTCTTTCATGAGTACTTTATAGTTTTCTGAGTATAGATTTTTTGCCTCTTTGGTTAGGTTTATTCCCAGGTATCTTACGGTTTTGGGTGCAATTATAAATTTGATCGAGGGGCACCTGGGTGGCTCAGTGGGTTAAGCCTCTGCCTTCAGCTCAGGTCATGATGTCAGGGTCCTGGGATGGAGCCCCATATCGGGCTCTCTGCTTGGCAGGGAGCCTGCTTCCCCCTCTCTCTGCCTGCCTTTCTGCTTACCTGTGACCTCTCTCCCTCTGTCAAATAAATAAATAATCTTAAAATAAATAAACAAATAAATTTGATTGATTCCTTAATTTCTCTTTCTTCTGTCTTGCTGTTGGTGTATAGAAATGCAACTGATTTCTGTGCACTGATTTTATGTCCTGACACTTTACTGAATTCCTGTATGAGTTCTAGCAGTTTGGGGGTGGATTCTTTGGGTTTCCCACATAAAGTATCATATTATCTGCAAAGAGTGAGAGTTTGATTTCTTCTTTGCAGATTCGGATGCCTTTTATTTTTTGTTGTCTGATTGCTGGGGCTAGGACTTCTAGTACTATGTTGAATAGCAGTGGTGATAGTGGACATCCCTGCTGTGTTGCAGACCTTCGGGGAAAAGCTCTCAGTTTTTCCCCATTGAGAATGATATTCACTGTGGGTTTTTCACAGATGGCTTTTATGATATTGAAGTATGTATCCTCTATACCTACTATCTATTCCCTTTAGAGTTTTGATCAAAAAAGGATGCTGTACTTCGTCAAATGCTTTTTCAGCATCTACTGAGAATTTATCATATGGCTCTTGTTCTTTTATTAATGTATTGTATCACACTGATTGATCTGCTGATGTTCAACCAACCTTGAATAAATCCCACTTGGTCGTGGTGAATAATCCTTTTAATGTACTGTTGGATCCTATTGCCTATACTTCGATGAGAATAGAAAACAGAACATCTTAAGAATCTTAATTTTCCCACAGCAGCCTCCCACTGGACCCACTGTTTTCTAAAGTAATGTGAAATGGTTATTATCCAATAAAGATGATGCCTAAGAAATTCATAAAATTTTATTTTTTAAATTTTTAAAGTCTTTTTAAGGTTTTATTTATTTACTTGACAGAGAGACAGCACAAGCAGGGACAGAGGCAGGCAGAGGGGGAGGGAGAAGCAGGCTCCCCAACGAGCAGGGAGCCCGATGTGGGATTCAATCCCAGGACCCCAGGATCATGCCCAAGCTGAAGGCAGCAGCTTAACTGACTGAGCCACCCAGGTGTCTCTATTTTATTTTTTTCAAGATTTTATTCATTTACCTGACAAAGAGACAGAGAGCACAGAAGGCCAAGTGGTGTCAGGCAAAGGGAGAGGAAGAAGCAGGCTCTCTACTGAGCACAGAGCCTTATGCGGGGCTTGATCCCAGGGCCTTGGGATCATGACCTGAGATGAAGGCAGATGCTTTGACTGAGCCACCCAAGCGCCCTGAAACCCATAAAATTTTAAAATATACTGTTATTACTTCAGACTGCAATAGGCAGAAACTATTCAAAAAAGATGAGACCTTCGGCTTCCAGTTTACTGTGGTTAAGTAAGAGGCTGACAAACATACTCATGGAAACATTTTTTTTTTTTAAATGTAAAAGAAAAAATGTACTTTTTTTTTTAATGTAAAAGAATGACTCAAAGCAGGAAGCTAAGAGCCAAAGGGTAAAACAAAATAGCCATGGGGAACCACTCTGAGGGAAAAGGACTGGGCCCTAATAAAGGAACTGAAAACGTGTCCCTGCTGGAATTCTGAATTGTTGTAATCCAGTTACTGCTAGGTACCTCTTGTTTTTCTCTCCCACCTTTTTAAATTAAATTCTACGCCCAATGTGGAGCTCAAACTCTTAAGCCGATAGATCAAGAGTCACATGCTCTAGGGACTGAGCTAGCCAGGCACCCCTTCTAATTTCTCTTTTAAATGAGAATGTCTATGATGGTTCTTCTGTCTTTGTCACACCACTGTTGTTACATGGGGACAGAGAGCCTGTCTCTCTACTCTACAGTCTTCAGATGCAAGAGCAGACAAACCTGAGTAGTTTTATGCCCACATGCATTTGATTTAGATTACTGACAAGATTCCGGACTTCAGACCTCATGCCTTAATGCAGGGATCAGTAAATTACTTACGGCTTGTGGCCCAAATTTTACTAGCTCCAGATTTGTAGAGTAGTACAAAAAAGCTACATCCATTTTCTTTTGCATTACAGTGGCAGAATTTCGACACAGGCCTTACAGCCAGCGAAAATATTTACTATCTGGTCCTCTACAGAAAAAGTTTGCAGATTCCTGACTTAAAGGTCGCTGACATGAGATTTTGGGAGGATCTTGAGAGGAAGTACATACATTTTGCATGTAGAAGGAATGCAAATAATTTGTAATCAAAGAGCAGACTGTGTGTGGAGGATTAAAGATGGTTGCAAATTCTTTTCCCCTCCCACCACTGAGAGATGGAGTTTACCTTCCTCCTCTTGAATCTGCACTGATCCTATTAATGTCTGACTCTGACAAGGTGACAGAACTGCGGTGACCATTCACAGCCTTAAGCCTTAAGAAAGCATGGAAGCTTCCAATTTTGTACTCCTTCCTGAGCCATAGACAGGTGCACGTCTGGCTACCTACCTAGAGCGACCACACGAATAGGAGATATCCTGAGATTACATGGGAAGGAAGAAAAGCCCAGCATCCCAGTGTCTCTCAATGCATATGACTCCATCTCAGTTGCTATGACTGCAAGGGCATGAGAACCTTTTAGTTGAGACTAAACTAGGATGATAACTTTTTAGTTGAGACCAGTCAACTCACAGAACTGTGAGAGATAATAAAATGACTGTATTTTAAGCCACTAAATTTTGGAGTTTATTGCACAGCAATACATAACTGAAACAGAGGCTTCCAACATATTAATACACGGAGCATGTCTTCCTAAAATCCTAGACCCCAACTTCATATCATAGATACAGAGGAATGCATCTGAGAAGGTCCTGGCTAGCCAATAAGTAACAGATTTTTTCTGAGTTGCTTAATTTTTTTTCCAATTCCTTATTCATGCATAGTGTTATTGCTTACAAATATTTTGATCTAATTCTGATTTTTACAAATCTGACACACTATATACTAATGACATGGAATGTTTCCAAGCCTAATTAGCTTCAGGCTCTGAGACATTTCAGTTTAGACAGAGAACTAAGTGGACTATTGTGGGGGGAAAAAAAAAAGCATCATTTACAAAATGACATAATATCAGTGCTTAACTCTCACAACTCTTTAAATCCCAAACTAGAAATTCAGCTAAAAACTAACATTTTTTAGAAGTGGAATTTAGGATTTAGCAGTCATATTAAAAACTTACTGAAATTCTTCAGAGAAAACAAGAATGTACTCATCCTTGTTTTTTTTTCTTTAAGATTTTATTTATTTATTTGAGAGAGAGAGAGAGAAAGAGAGAAAGAGAACACAAGCACAAGCTGGGGGAGGAGAAAAGAGGAGGGAGAGAGAGAATCTCAAGCAATCTCTACACTGAGCATGCAGCTTAACAAGGGGCTTGCTCCCAACACCCTAAGATCATGACTTGAGCTGAAACCAAGTTGGACTCTTAACTGACTGAGCCACCTAGGAGTCCCTCATCCTTGTTAGATCTAAAACAAATGTGGGAACTGCAAAACACCAAATGACCCCAGCTTGGTGGATGGAATAGCTTAAAATACAACAGGCGGTTATCTTATAGAATACACACACACACACACACATACACACATATATATATTTTGCTATATATCCACAGGACTATACCATATTCTTACTGTATCAGAAGATTCATAGCCTCAAAATAAATTACATTATACTCTCCACAACAGTATACAACAGATGACAAATTAATCTAAAAAAATAACAGCTAGATATACATTAATCTATTCTCTAGAGAACACATGCATCTCTATCTTGGTAACCTAATAACTAAACACAAAAATCTTACCAGAGCTTTCCTATGTTTATAGATGAAATCTTCAGCTGACTTAGCCCAATTGGGGAGAATGACGTCATTTACTACTTCTTTGGAAACTTGCAGACAACCCAAGTTAAATTCTAAGACAAGTAAAAGATAAATGCATCAAATCATTTTAGATTTAAATAAATCAAGTAAAACAGATATAAGGGCACAATTCTTAGCAAAACTGAGACTCTTCTCTAATAGGTGAGAACCAAGTTCCCTTCTTGATCTAAATTTACTGAACAGGTGAAAATAATTCTTTTCATATTGAAATGCATTTTACCAGTTGATTGAACAGGTAAATGAAAATAAAATACTTCTAAATTAGTTATTATAAAGTAAATCAGATTAACAACTGATTTTTGGTTGAGAAGCAGGGTATACTATAGATATGACCAAAACCTTAATCTAAACAAAAATGCAATATTCAGTATTCTGACATTAAAAATAATTAATATAATAGTCCCTGTTAATTTACAAAATACAGCTCCTTAGCGCTTTTGGTGTAACTCATACTTTAAATACACTCAAAGGAAGTGTTGTATTTGTCATAATGAAAAAATATGTATTTGTATAACCCTCTTCTAAGTAATACTGACATAAAGATTTTCTCATATAGTTAAAATACAGTACTTTGACAAAACTATCCCAAAGATGAGGTTTTCTTGTTTATATAGCATGGAAAGAGAAAAGCATTCACATAAAAGATCTTCATAAAGGAATCCACCCTAAAATATCAGTGTGTCCCAAAGCTGGAAAGAGGTTTGAATGTCATAAAATGACAGGATGCACAGGGCCTGTGGCTTTGTTAACCCAACTACTGTGTAACAGACATTGTTGCCAACCTGCTAGCCATCCCTCTTTATTTGGTAACAGAACCTTGATTTTATTCAAGTATCCATCCTTGTGCTTTATTTTATGCCTGTAGCAGGCTGACTGGTATAAGCACAATAAGGAGAGGTTACAAGAAAGGATTTCTCAGTCTTAAGAAGTGACACCAAGAATTAACAATCCACTTCTAAGACACTATTGTATCTGCCTATGAAGCCTAGAAATGCGTCAGTCATTTGTAACCATGAGAGGGACTAGCCAAGGACAAAGCCCAAACACTTGGAACAGCAGAATGAAAATACAGGAAGAACTTGGCTTTGATGATGTTGTTAAGCTACCTGGATACTACCATACCTTAGGGTTTTCACTGTGGAAAATACTAAAATTTTCTTGCACAATTTTGAGTTAGTTTTACTAATATTTGTTTTACTAATTAATATTAAAATTTATTGACATTCTAACAAATGTACTTTGCTTTCTCCCACCTAACTCATTTCAAACAAAGAAGCAATATACAATTAGAAAAGGAAGCCAGCAAAACAGTAATTCAAGACAGCAACTTGCTCTAGTGAACATCAGAAATTGTCAAGCTTAACTTCTGTGTCCAAATTTGTATGGAATCAGAAGAGACCCCGAATCACTAAGGAAATGTTGAAAAACAAAAATAAAACTGGGGGCATCACGTTACCTGATTTCAAGCTTTACTACAAAGCCGTGATCACCAAGACAGCATGGTACTGGCATAAAAACAGACACATAGACCAGTGGAACAGAGTAGAGAGCCCAGATATGGACCCTCAACTCTATGGTCAAATAATCTTCGACAAAACAGGAAAAAACACACAGTGGAAAAAAGACAGTCTCTTCAATAAATGGTGCTGGGGAAACTGGACAGCTATACATCGAAGAATGAAACTCGACCATTCTCTTACACCGTACACAAAGATAAACTCAAAATGGATAAAAGATCTCAACGTGAGACAGGAATCCATCAGAATCCTAGAGGAGAACATAGGCAGTAACCTCTTCGATATCAGCCACAGCAACTTCTTTCAAGATATGTCTCCAAAGGCAAAGGAAACAAAAGCGAAGATGAACTTTTGGGACTTCATCAAGATCAAAAGCTTTTGCACAGCAAAGGAAATAGTCAACAAAACAAAGAGACAACCCACGGAATGGGAGAAGATATTTGCAAATGACAGTACAGACAAAAGGTTGATATCCAGGATCTATAAAGAACTCCTGAAACTCAACACACACAAAACAGACAATCATATCAAAAAATGGGCAGAAGATATGAACAGACACTTCTCCAATGAAGACATACAAATGGCTATCAGACACATGAAAAAATGTTCATCATCACTAGCCATCAGGGAGATTCAAATTAAAACCACATTGAGATACCACCTTACACCAGTTAGAATGGCCAAAATTAGCAAGACAGGAAACAACATGTGTTGGAGAGGATGTGGAGAAAGGGGAACCCTCTTACACTGTTGGTGGGAATGCAAGTTGGTGCAGCCACTTTGGAGAACAGTGTGGAGATTCCTCAAGAAATTAAAAATAGAGCTTCCTTATGACCCTGCCATTGCACTACTGGGTATTTACCCCAAAGATACAGATGTAGTGAAAAGAAGGGCCATCTGTACCCCAATGTTCAAAGCAGCAATGGCCACAGCCGCCAAACTGTGGAAAGAACCAAGATGCCCTTCAACGGACGAATGGATAGGGAAGATGTGGGCCATATACACTATGGAGTATTATGCCTCCATCAGAAAGGATGAATACCCAACTTTTGTAGCAACATGGACAGGACTGGAAGAGATTATGCTGAGTGAAATAAGTCAAGCAGAGAAAGTCAATTATCATATGGTTTCACTTATTTGTGGAGCATAACAAAGAGCATGGAGGACAAGGGGAGATAGGAGAAGGGAGTTGAGGGAAATTGGAAGGGGAGGTGAACCATGAGAGACTATGGACTCTGAAAAACAATCTGAGGGTTTTGAAGGGGTGGGGGGTGGGAGGTTGGGGGATCCAGGTGGTGGGTATTGGAGAGGGCACGGATTGCATGGAGCACTGGGTGTGGTGCAAAAATAATGAATACTGTTACGCTGAAAAAATAAAAAATTTAAAAAAACAACAACAAAACAACAACAACAAAAAAACCCCAAATTTAATCTGCTCATCCTCCTAGCCTGGATACCCTGTTTTGGCAGTTCTAGTCCTATGGCTAAGAGTCTAGAATCAGAGTCCGTCAATAGATTCATTTGATTTTCTGAAAGGGACGAATTTTAAATATCTTACTCTGAGAAATCAGATGCCTCCAACAGCATGTCCCAGAGTGCATGATCAGAGGACACAAAGCCCTGGATATGTTCTCCCTAATGTGGCAAACAACTCTACTACAGAAGCAAAGGGTCAAACATTAACACTTCATACTAGGGGAAGAAAAGGAAATTGGTAATGGTCCTTTGACACTGTAATTTTTCTTAAGAACCCCAGTAGTAACAATCTTCTCATTTTCTTACTGTGCTTAAAAGGAAATCTAAAATTCCTTCATAGAGGAAGTATTTGGATATTTTTAAAGACTGTCTTTGGCTCCATAATGCTCTACTTCAAAAACATATGATTTTTCAAATATTGTGGTAACTTATACCTTGTCATTAATTTCAATTTGCCTCCTCTCTTCTGCTCTAAACCAAGAATCAGCCTACTTTTTCCATAAAGTGTCAAAGAATAAATATTTTTTGCTGTGTGAGCCCAATGGTATCTGTTGCAACTACTCAAATAAGCTATTATTCTATGAAAGCAGCCACAATCTACATGTAGATGAACTGGTTTGGCTGTGTTCCAACAAAATTTTATTTATAAACGAATGAGTCTACCCTGTGAATCTGACCCATGACCTACAGTCTGCAAACCCCTGGTTTAAATCCTCATCTTATCTAACTCATGTACTTTTTTTTCTTTCCCACCCCTAACTCAAACACTTTTAGCCTAAGTGGCTAGCTATATGGCTGAAATAGCATATGGCCATTTTTGCATTTTTGCATTGGGTTCTAGAAAACCCAATACTCTGATAAATTCTCTCACCAATTCAAATATGACTCATTTATCACGGTTCACCACAGCACTTCCCTGGAAAAGTAAGACTACATCTGGGCATCAGTCAAACCCTATCTGTGAATAACAGACCGAGTGAACCTTAAGTAATCTACAGAATATCACAAAAATTTCCTGAAAGGTATTTTTCAGGATCCTTCACTGGGACCCATTGAGTCAAAATTCTTAATCTCTCATTTCTTACGATTTTGATTTTCCAAAAACTCCGGGAAATAGAAGAATTCGGGAATAAGCTCCTTCACATCATATGCATTGTCCATGAGAGCCTGCCAGGTGGCAGGGATGGAATGGAACTGTCGATCTGCGCAGTCAAACCTGCATGTGGAGATTGACAGAGAACAATGAGTAAATTTCAGTGAGAGCAACAACAGCCATGAAACAAGCCTTTCACTCCCTTCAGGTTACTAATGATTAGAGCCTCTCTCTCATTCACCTTTCTCTTAATGTCTAAAAACACAATTTGGGAGGCACTTAGGTGGCTCAGTCAGTTTAAGTGTCTGCCTTTGGCTCAGGTCATGATCCCAGGGGGATCTGGCCCCCCATCAGGTTCCCTATTCAGCAGGGAGCCTACTTCTCCCTCTCCTACTCCCCGTTTGTGCTCTCCCTCTCTCTGTCAAATAAATAAATAAAATCTTTTAAATTAAATTAAATTAAAATACAATTTGTTTTTCGTACTTACAATAATATGATACATTCATATGATAATCTTTCATATTTTGTTGCCAGGAACTAAATACTACAACTTTTTTTTGAAGATTTTATTTATTTATTTGAGAGAGAGAGAGAGCATGAGAGTGGAGTGAGTGGCAATAGGGGACAATGAGGGCAGAGGGAGAGGAAGAAGCAGGCTCCCGGCTGAGCAGGGAACCCTATGCGGGGCTCAATCCCAGGACCTGGGAACATGACCCAAGCCGAAGGCAGACACTTAAGCAATGGAGCCACCCAGGCACCCCTCACTTTAACTTTAATCACTAGTATCATTTTAGTTAGAAGAGCTGAAAACCAAATCACACTGGAGAAAATTTTTAAGTAATTAAATGTAAACCTAAGAGACTTTTAAAGAAAGGCCTAATTTTTGCTGAGTAAAATTCATTACCGAGAGTGAATAAACATTATTTGGATATTTTAGATTCACAGAATTTAAATATCATTATTAATATACATGGTTAACAGATCCATAGGAGAGCTGCTGATTTAATCCTCTATACAAACTCTTCTAAAAACCAGAGGGTGAGTTAGGGAAATGGTTCTTTTTGTAATATATATTAAATATTAATATATAAATATATGATATATTAAATATATATACTTATATATATAAATTTTATATTTTAAAAATATTTTTTATATTTTACTTGCATATACTATTATCTGATTTTATTTTTAAGTTCCACCACAGGCCTATGGTAGTTAAAGAAGCTCAAGTAGTCATGCTGCGATTTTATTATACTGTTTTTACGTATTTTCCATTCACAAAAAGCATAAACCCCCATTTAATCTCCTTTGATATTGTTTTCCTGGATTTACTTAGTAATACCTACCAATCTTGGTTTGAGGTGGAGCTGAACTTAGCAGAATTCTGAATTTAATTATGGTCAGTGATTGGGTCATCAATAAAGTCTAATAATGGTGTATCCAAATTCAAGGAGATATAGTTTTAATGGCAGAATTTTTTTGTTTGGGAGAACTGCTTTACTGAGATATAATTCACATACAATTCACAATTCAATGTTTTCAATATATTCATGAGTTGTGCAACAATCACCACAATCAATTTTGAACATTTCTATCACTCCTAAAAGAAACCTTGTATCTATTAGCAGTTACTCTCTATCCATCCTACCTCAACTCTGGCAACTGCGAATCTACTTTCTGTCTCTATGGGACACTGCATGTAAATCATACAGCATGTGGCTTTTTATGTCTAGTTTATTACATTTAGCATACTGTTTTTGAGGATCATTCATGTTGCAACATGTATCTTTCATTACTTTTATCTACTCATGGCCAGGTAATACTCTGTTGTATGGATATACCACATTTTATTTATTCTTTTATCACCTGACAAACAACCTTTGGGCTGTTTTTACTTTTTGGCTATTACAAATAATGCTGCTATGTACACCTTATATAAGTTTTTGTGTGAACATAAGTTTTCAATTATTTTGGGTGTATAGCTAAGAATGGAATTACTAGGTCAGGATAATTTTATGTTTAACCCTTTGAAGAACTGCCAAACTGTTTTCCACAGAGGCTACAGCATTTTTCATTTCCGCAGGCAGTACATAAGGGTTCTAGCTTCTCAGCATGCTCATCAACACTAGGTATTACCTGTCTTTTTTATCATAGCCATCCTTGGAGGTGTGAAGAGGTTATCTCAATTTGGTTCTGATTTGAATTTCCCTGATGACTAAGGATATTCAGCATCTTTTCATATGTTTCTTGGACATTTGTATATCTTCTTTGGAGAAATGTACATTCAGATCCGTTGTTCAGTTTTTAATTGGGTTATTTATCTATCATTGCACTGTAAAGGTTATTGTATTGTAGACTTCAAGTCCCTTAGCAGATTATACAACCTACAAATATTTTCCTCGGCTGAATGGGTTGTCCTTTACCATTCTTGATGGAGTCTTTTGAAGCAGATAATCTATTTCTAAAGCCTTGTAGTAAAATCACTAATTGTTAAAATCATTAAAAGCTGCAAAGACCCAGTTATACCTTAATGGGGAGAAAACTACCTGCTATCGTGTGTATGTAACATTTGGAGATGGTTAATGTGATCACAGGGACAGAGTCTCTTCTTGAAAGCCAAGGCTTATTGCACTAAAGATAGGAGTAAGGTTAATTTTGAGAGATAAAGACTATATGCATGGAGAATAGAATAGGCAATAGTTTACATAGCTCGATTGGGTGCATAGGAAAGGTGAAATAGTAATGTTAAAGAATAAGGCAATATGGAGATAAAATGTAAGTAAGTAGGAAGCTGTAGAGAGGATACATTGGAAAACCGAGGATTCATAAAGAAGTTTGTTTCTTTAAGATTATCAGGAAAGTGTGAACATAATATATTATAATTCTGAGAGGTAATATGATAATACAGTGGAATCATAGACCTGTGTGGATTATGTAAGAGCCCCTCATTCTTCCTCATTTTTATTCTTTAATAAAATATTTTAAAGAGGACCACACAGGCATTGGTTAGGTTTAAATCTTTGGTAGATGTCATGGATCTAGGTCTAAATCAGTTCAAACTCTCAGTCTCTGGCAGGTACCTAAAACCAGTAAGAATCACAAAGCTACACTAGATAACCGTAAAAAGGAATTCTCCTTAAAGGTCATTTGTGTAAGTCAGTTGGAGTGACTTATTCTCAAACTAGTTTGGCTGTTTTTATTTAGAGGCTATTAAATGAAATAAAATCTAATAGAGGAGACTAAAACTGATAAGGCCCTGTTATATAGTACATGACACAAAGGCAAAGAGTTTTCAATGCTAACATGTGGTCTTAAGAAAATAGCTTATTTGGGGCACCTGGGTGGCTCAGTTGTTAAGCATCTGCCTTCGGCCCAGGTCATGATCCCAGTGTCCTGGGATCGAGCCCCATATCAGGCTCCCTGCTTGGCAGGGAGTCTGCTTCTCCCTCTCCCTCTGCATATATGCCCTCTCTGATAAATAAATAAAATCTTAAAAAAAAAAAAAAAAAAAAAGAAAATAGCTTATTTACCCAAAACATACCTTCCACTCTGAAGCTGGATGTGGAGGGTGGTGAATGGTTCTGTACGAATAAGATAGTGCATAACCCCAGCAGAATTTGAATAGTGAGTACCATAATGAAATTTATCAATAGTTCCCATAGGATCCTCAAAATTTTCATATCTAAAAAAAGAAACTAAACTTTTATAACCATAATAGTAATACTAAATTAGGACATAAGGTTGTAGTGCATTGCTAAAAACATAGTTTTTAAGAAGTCCTTATTAATATTCATTGTTTACATATTCATATCATCATACCAAGTTAACAAATGAAAAAAAATTATTCATTAATACTTTATCTGAACGTAGTATCACTAGAAACAGTAATACTGTGTTTCATATTATGCAATAATACATATTCACTGTAGATAAATTAGAAAACACAGAGTACCAAAAAAGGAGAAACTTAAAATCAAGCAGAGATAATTAACATTAACATTTTGATGAAAATCTGTCACCCTTAATATATAAGTTAGTACACAAATGTATTTCAATGTAAAAGTGCTATACATAATACATTGTTCACAACCTATTTTTTCGTTTAGCAGTTTTCTATTTGTCTTTCCAAATGACTGAATAGTCTACTTTTTAACAGCACCTGGTATTTATAACGGTAACATATATGAATGTATGACAATTTAACCATTTCTTTAGTTTTGGATATAAAGGGTTATTTGATTTTTCTGCTACCATAAGCAATGTGATAATGAGACATTCTTTAGTGGACAACATAATGGAAGAAAATATGGAGGATCAGTCAAGAATTGTGGAAATGAATGTCTATTAATTAAAGGAAAAAGAAGGTTGTCTAGGAAGGAAGATGATGGATAGGAAGACCTAAAGTAGGTAAAAAGGAAAGGATATATATATATATATAGTTAATTCTAAAAGCACTACAAATATGTAATTGTTTTGAATGGTGGTTTGAATATTGACATCTGAATTAGTGGGTACAAAATCTGAATAAGAAGAGTTTTTGGGGGCGCCTGGGTGGCTCAGTGGGTTAAAGCCTCTGCCTTCAGCTCAGGTCATGATCCCAGGATCCTGGGATCAAGCCCCTCATCGGGCTCTCTGCTCAGCGGAGAGCCTGCCTCCCTCCCTCTCTCTCTTGCCTGCCTCTGCCTACTTGTGATCTGTCAAATAAGTAAATAAATAGATCTTAAAAAAATTTTTTTTTCAGCTTTAACTAGATCTGCAAAAAAAAAAATTTTTTTTTCTACATTGTCAAAAAAAAAAAAAAAAGTTTTTTGGAGGAAATAAACACTAAACTTTTCAAACCAAAACAGTAATTAGTTCATCGAGTTGAGGCCAATTTCCTTTTACGCAGAAATCATTAATATTCAGGAGAATAAAAAGCTTTCAGGTCAAAGTCATATCCATCTATGCAAAAACATACACTATTAAAATTTAAAACAGTGTTTCCTGTGGAACAGTATTTTTAAAAGCTTGTTTTTTTGTTATTGTCAAAAAAGTTTGACTAATGGTGGTGAGGTTACATATATACAGAATTCCACTAGTAAATCAAATCAAGTATCAAACACTACAGAGTCCTAAGATAGATTTGCAGATAAAATGAAAAAAAAAAAAAAAAAAGTACTTTCAAATAAATCTACATTATTTGTTTGCAAAATAGTTTTTTGCATTTAATGTAAGTCATTACTGACAATTCATCCACAATTTCACATGGAGAGAAAGGGAAATTAAAATTAGATTATTCTTTTACCTGTCAGCAGCTTGCTTTGAAGAAAAAAATTATAAGACATTCACAGGATAGATCATAAATATACAGAATTATAAAAATTCCTTTCCTTATTAAAAGATAGCAACTTTCTACACATTTCGGTATACTTTATTCACATTATTTGTGAATCATAGGTTAGTATTAATTTTATATCTACCAAAGTATTGTATTAAATTAAAGGTATTTTTTCATGTTGATTAGGAGGTTAATAAGGCTAAAATATCTGGGAAGAAAAATTACCCTTTAGCACATAAAAGGTGAAAAGAAACTCTAAACAAAATCAATTTAAATTGGCACAGAAGTGAAATTAACTGAATACAGGTAAGATACTTGAGGGATAATCATATATTTTCAAGAAGATACATTGAAGGGATTATCAGACTGATTACCAAAAACAGTTGTGCATTTAAGAAAAGTAACACTTGGTTGGCCATATTGGAAATCAATGCAAATTCAAAATACCATCAAAAGTGATGGGTATCTTTCAAAAGGCATAAAATGCACTTACTTTTCTCGCATGGCTTTGGCATTTTTATCATTAACTACCCCAATTGGTTTGGAAAGATCTCGAAATACAGATGGGTTATTAAGGTCCAACTCTTCTGAAGTATAATCTTGTAAAATCCAGGGAAACTAAAAAACAGCCACAATTTACAATTTAGACATTCCTTTCCAGAGAAGTTGTAATATCAAATGCTTATCTAAAGACAAAAAGGGTTAGTCTTTAAAAATATTTTTCTGTTTCAAATGTTTATTCATCTTCAGTTCCATAACCAGAAGCATTATTTGCTATAATTCCACTGGAATATTTTCAATGAAGTGAAAAAAAAAGCTTTTATTATTTAAATACTCTTCATGTTTATATACGTTTTGAAGATAGCAGGTAGAAAATATACAAAAGGCAAAAACAGTTTTTGTATCTTTTTTAAAGATGACAAATAATCATCATACACATACATTTTTAGTGTATTATAAAACTGAAAGGCAATACCATATTTAGAGATTTCTATAAAACTTACCACAGGATACTGCGCAAGGTCATTATAGGTTCGTCCTGCCATTGTATTTATTTGAATGAGGTAGTCAAAATTTGATATCTCTCTGTTCACCCATTTCTAGATAGTACAAAAAGCAAAATCAGAACTAACTTAAATTTTTAGAAGTTAGTAACTATTACTGATAGTACTAACATAATCTTTTGTTCCCATTATCTTTATCATCTTACTAATAAAAGGAATGGGACTTCAAAAAAGGCTTAAATCAATAAACTTTTCCTAAATTTCTTTCCTTTAAAAACTGGTCTTTAGAAAAGGAAGAGAAAATCAAACATAAATTTTTATTATAGTCAAAAAATGCAAAAGAGTTCTTTTTTCCAGTTAAGTTATTTAAATATCTCAAAAATGTCAATTTTAGGACTGTCCAACATGGAAAATTTTGTTATAAACTGATATTTTTAGAAGTGCACATATTAAAGAAAAGCATCCTAATGTACTAAAATGATCTGTAAATTTTAAATAAATATTATCTAACTATTCTCAGAGAACTGCCTTGAGATTTTGCTACATTAGATAATTTCCTATGAGATTTTGCTACATTAGATAATTTCCTAAAGAAAAACATAATCACCATTTTCTTTTAATCACTAGCCTATTAATTACTTACACAGTATGGGTATGCTCGAGAATTTTGCTGACAGATTAACATTCACTTTTAAGTTTACTGTTTGCCTTAAGCAAATAATACGCTTAAGGGAATGGTGAGAAATGAATCTATAGCCTTAAGCAAATAATATGCTTAAGGGAATGGTGAGAAATGAATCTATATATATAGATTTAATAGAAAGCCCAATTATAATTATACTTGAGTGCTAACTTTAGAAGTACTTTAACAAATAAAGTTTATTCCACAAAAAATTAGCAAATACTCCATTAAATAAAGCTTATTCCACAAGCAATACGAAAGAATTGCTGATGATTTCTGAACAAGAGCAACACTTCAGATTATGATTAAAGCATATGGAAGAGGGAGACCTAATTTAGAGACCTAAATTAGTAGACTATTGCCAGTTCTGGAAAACAAAAAAACAACGGCCTTTCCTTGGATGTTGGTAGTAGAAATTCAAGATATATTGGGATATAGGTGAGAACAAAATATACAAGAGCATTAATCAGATTTGGCTAATAGATGAACTGATTTTTTTTCCTTTTTCCCCCATGGGGTCTTTTGTATTTTCCCACATTTTACCTCATGCACAGATAAATTTTATTATTAGAAAAACCCAACAAAGGGTGCCTGGGTGGCTCAGTGGTTAAGTGTCTGCCTTCGACTCAGGTCATGATCCCAGGATCCTGGGATTGAGGCTTGCAGCAGGCTCCCTGATCAGCGGGAAGCCGGCTTCTCCCTCTCCCACACCCCTGCGTGTATTGCCTCTCAAGCTCTCAAGCTTGTATTATCTCTCTGTGTCAAATAAATAAACAAAATATTAAAGACAAGAAAAAGAAAACCCCAGCAAGCCTACCTGTTATATTTTAAAAAGTAAAATTATTAAAATAGAAGAATTTGTAAGATATACCCCATGAACCAAATGGTATGGGAGCTGAAAGACAGGACACAGTGTTAGTGAAACAGAAAGATTCAAAGATAATTCAAAAGATCAATTTGAATGGAAGAATGGTTGTAATAACCAAAATAAAATAATCAGAAGAGGAAAGAGCCTGAAATATAATATGAACATTACAACAGTGTTGAAATTTCCTACCTGTGTCAATCCAGATGCTTTGAATAATTCCTGTGGTGATCTGGTACCATAACTATTTGGAGAATGCAGTGACAACAGTCTACTATATACTTTGTTTCTAACCTATAAAAAACAGTATTTTACAGTTTAAAAATTATCAAGACAAATTGGGATTGCGACTTTTGTAACTGCTTTATTGAAATACATTTCACATACCAAAAAATTTACCCTTTTAGAGTAGATAATTCAGTGGGCTTTTTTTTTAATATATATTCAAAGAGCTGTGCAACCATAAACACTAACTCTGGAACATTTTCGTCATCCTTGAAAGAAACTTCATACTCACTAGTCATCAACCCCCCAATTCTTACTCCCTCTCATTCCCTGAAAACCACTAATCTACTTCCTGCCTCTACAAATCTGCCTCTTCTGGACATTTCTCTTTAATAGAGGATTATGGCTTTAACTACTCTACTAGGTTTGGTGAAGTCAAGCTATATATTTTTTTGAAGAAATTACAGGGTATAATGGAATGATCAGCAGATACTGAATCAGAAAATAAGCTGGAGTCCAATTCCAACTCAGTCCTGTCATTTACTAATCATACTCGCAAATCAATTACTTTACTGAGTCTCATTTATACATTAAACATAATAACCTCTACCCTTACAGTTTTCTGAATTCCTCAAGGCTATACAAATAAAGTAATAAAATTCATCTTTGAACTTCAGTTTCCTCACCTATTAAAAAAGGAGTAACAGAATTTGCCACAGTGAATCTGAAGGTGGCTATAAAGGTTAGAACCACATATAAATGTGTTTTAAAAACTATAAATAAAGTTATACAAATAAATGTACAGTATTCAACAGGAGCATGGTTGGTTTAATTATATGACATAGCTTCCTAATAAACACAAGCTTTGTATATTCCTACTGGGAAATTTTATTTTTAATAGAAAAAAAAATATCCTTTTGTAAAAATACAGAAATGCCCTTTAAACCTCTGAACAAAATCAGCTGTAAGTAAACCTGGATCCCACAAATGAACAGAAACTTAGTTACTGACTGTGCTAATCCAGATCATCTCCGAAGCAGATGAAGAAAATGGAACTGAGTATTCAAGGATTTTATTAGGAGAGATGCCTGTGACAGAAAATGAAGAAAGAGCTAGGCAAGACAGGAGACCTATCAGAAACTGATGCAAGTGTCACCCAAAGCGAGTAACAGAGGGAAGGAAGGTTGGGGGCAAGCATCCCAAGTAACGTGCTGAAGATAAATAGCTAGTATCTTGATCCAGATAATCAGGCTTCAAGGGTAATCTCTTAACCACTTACACTATTCCAGAATTTACTCTATTCCCAGAAGAAATACCTGCCTCATTATTATTTAACTGAACTGAACCCAATTTCATAAATCCTATCATATCCTATATATTGCATATTATTTCACAACTGGATATTGCGTGAGGCACCTATTGGCTGACACCCAGTATTTTACTGATTTATCTACTCATAGATTAAAAACTGAAAACAAGCACCCTAAAAAATACTCAAACATAAATCCCCCCAAAATTAATTTACTCCTTAGCTCCTAAGGCACATGTTTTTTCCTCTAGTATTTTGACTTCACAAATAAGTAGAGTCCAAAGTTTCATTATAGCTCACCAACCAGAAAATTACTTCAAGCTAATACTCTGGGACTTCCAGAAAGGCAGCATCTTACATACCTCTTTTTTGAAATTGAGAAAGTAGTTGGATTGGTCAACATGAAAAATCTCAAGAGCTGACCTCCTTAAATTATAACGCCGCAGGTGAATCTCTCGAACTTGAGAATGAGGCCACTTGAAATCAAAGCCTACTCCTAAAAACAGAAGAAATCTTGTGACCAAGGTACCATATGAAGTTCCTCATGTTATGCAGAAAATATCTCCTAGTTCCTGACAAAAGTAGCACTTAAGGAAAAGGAATTAAATTTCTGTTTCACAGAAATCATTTGTTAAATTTAGTGGATGTTTAAATGGCTTCTTTCATTTACTTTTTTGAGAGAGAGAGAGAGCGAGAGCGAGAGCGAGCGTGCAACATGCATGCAGGGGGTGGGGGGTTGCAAAAGAGGGAGAGAGAGAGAATCTTAAGCAGTCTCCACACCCAGCATGGAAGCGGCTCAGGCTCAATCTCAAAACCCTGAGATCATGACCTAAGTGAAATCAACAGTAGGATGCTTAAGTGTCTGAGTCACCCAGGAGCCCGTAAATGGTTTAAAACTTTAAAAAAATTCTATAGCTGTTCCCCTTCCTTCTCATGAGAACAGAGAATAATCCTGATTATTATATCTCAAAAACATGTTTTCCTTTTCTCTTTATGTTGGCATTTTAGATTTAAATATCCTTTTTCTTTTCAAAGGACTAGGTGAGAAACTGATGGAAATAAATGTACAAATAAAATTAAGATTGCATTTTATAAAAACTTTACAGCAATCTCCTTTCATCAAAACCATTAAAAACATTAATAAAAAAGCATTCCTTTTAATACAGTGTTGAATAATAAATTGAATCCCATATTGACTTTGTATTTCTCCTTTTAGATGCTAGACCACAATTCCAGTCCTATCTTATTATTTTCTTCTCATTAGTATTTGATAAACTGGATACTTAACTATTGAACAACAGAAATTATTCCCCCAGAACTCCTCACCATCTTCTTTTTCAATGCTGCAATCATAGAAGTAAATGTGTTGAGTAGTGATTTCTAATCTGCCAGGAATTACGTCAATTATTGTAATGAGTTCACAGTCTTCTGACAACACCAATTTTTCTTTTTGATCCTGTTCTTCTTTCTCATCACTGTAAAAACAAGTATCAACCAAACAAAAACCACTGAACAATGTATTCTGTGTAAATGGAAAAGAGTATTAAGAAAGTATAATTGCATTACTTAAAAAAATATTTTACTGCATATTAAATTACTGAAATGCTGTCCAAATGTTACTGCTCAATAACCCAGTTTCCAAAAAAAAGTTTTACATTTTAATTGTATGTAACCCATTAAAACAAAACATAGTGAATCTTTAAGACTACTGGCAGAGAACAATTCAAACATGCAGCAATTTGGGATTTTAGTTATATTTGGGAGACATGAATTGAGAACATATGAATCTATGAATAAAGGACTGCATCATTAGTGATGTTTTATAAATAATTATCAGAAGCATTAATTGTAACTGATTCTCAAACTGTAAAATGAGACTTTTCAAGAGTAACTAAATCTAGATAATGTCCCCTGACCGTGGGACTGGGGAGGATACTACTGCAATACCTTACTTAGAGTGAAGTCACCTTGTATCAAGAAAACTGCTTCACTTTATTTTTTTGGACAAGATAACTGGGAAGGGTGAGTCTTCTGGTGGCTTAGGTGACTTCTGACTGCCAGATAAAGAAATAGGAACTCCTACCACTCACAGAATGCCATTCAAGTAAATCTTTCAAGCCAGGTGTTTCCTGGTCCTAGATATTTCACATCTGCCCCATTTCCAGGATAGCAATGACTAAGTCTAATTTTTTCTCCCCAGTGGAGTTCCAGGAGGAAGTATCCTGGAAGTATCAAGTATTACCAACCTAACTGGTGATACTGTAGCCCATGACTTAAAGCTAAGCTTTAAAAAAAATAAGTAAATAAAAATCAAGAATGTTTTTCCTAAACAGTGAAATTCCAATATTTATAGTGATGAAATAGAGAAATAAGTGACCTAAAAGAGTAAATAATCTGAAGGTTATTTATATTTTATAAAAGAAAGGTTTTGTTTTTTTAGTTTATAATTAATGAGACTGAATATTCACTGAATTTACTAGTCATTAAAGTGAGAAAATAAAATCCCTATTAAAAGGCTGATTAATAATATACCAAAGATAGCACCCTATATAACTAACCTTACCCAATTCCCTGAAAATTATCAAGGAAATCTTAAAAATTATTAAAATTATATGAACTTATTTATGCTAACAAACTATACTATTGAACCTGGTCAATTTGTAATACTACTAAAATAAGTTCCAAAGAAATATATGGCATGTGTAGCTTATAATCCACAAAAAAAGTGATGTTCAGAATAAATTATGTATTTGGGTCTTAACTACTCATTTTTGGCTGAAGGTGAATCTTTACAACAGAAAGTAAAAGGGCAGATGTGTAAATCACAAAATTTGAACACACTCCCTAAAGCACACATAATTCTACTGGCAAAGAATGGCAGTCTTTTGGAACAAGGGGCTTAAATATAATCAACTAAATGATTATTGGCTGACCACCAAGCTATACTAACTAATTAAAGGCCAGTTTTTTTTTTTAAACAAACTTTTTGTCTAAAAACAAAACAAAGTGAGACAAAAACCCAATGAGTACAGACATCAGTAGCAACATGCAGCAGGTAAGACATACTCCATAGAATTAGTCCAGGAAAATCACTAAACAAAAATATCACCGCAATAACCACCATCAAGGAAGGGTACAGGAAACCCAAGTGGTTACAATTTATTACCTAAAATGCACAGATTTCACGAAGATTATGAGACATACAAAGAAAAGGTGAAGTATGGGCTATAAAGACATAAGCAATAAAAATAAACTATCTGGGGCGCCTGGGTGGCTCAGTGGGTTGAGCAGCTGCCTTCGGCTCGGGTCATGATCTCAGAGTCCTGGGATCGAGCCCCGCATCGGGCTCTCTGCTCAGCGGGGAGCCTGCTTCCTCCTCTCTCTCTGCCTGCTTGTGATCTCTCTGTCAAATAAATAAATAAAATCTTAAAAAAAAAAAAAAAACTATCTTTGGGGGACCACAGATGTTCAACTTAGACAAAGACTGTAAAGTAGCTATCATTAAATACATTAAAACAAGTAACATAAACTATGTTTAAAGAACTAAAGTGCATTATGGCAACAAAGCCTAGTCAAATAGAGACTGTCAATTAAGAGACAGAAATTACACGTCCACAATAGCCAAATTATGGAAAGAACCTAGATGTCTATCAACAGATGAATGCATAAAGAAGATGTGGTATATATATACAATGGAATACTATGCGGCCATCAAAAGAAATGGAATCTTGCCATTTGCAACGACATGGATGGAACTAGAGGGTATTAGCTTAGCAAAATAAGTCAATCGGAGAAAGACAACTATCATATGATCTCCCTGATATGAGGAAGTGGAGATGCAATGTGGAGAATTTGGGGGGGTAGGAAAAGAATAAATGAAACAAGATGGGATTGGGAGAGAGACAAACCATAAGAGACTCTTAATGTCACAAAACAAACTGAGGGTTGCCAGGGGGAGAGGGGTAGGGAGAGCGTGGTGGGGTTATGGACATTAGGGAGGGTATGTGCTATGATGAGTGCTGTGAAGTGTTAAACATGGCGATTCACACACCTGTACCCCTGGGGCTAATAATACATTATATGTTTATAAAAAAATTAAAAAATTATAAAAAAAGAGACAGAAATTACATACATATCTGTAAAAGAAAGGACCACATGGAAAACTGTCCAATCAAAAAACTAAATGAAAAATTCACCAGAAGGACACAATAGCATATTTGAACTTGCAGAAGGCAGACCCAAGACTCTTGAAGACAGTTCAAAACAAATTATCCAATCTGAGGCACACAAAGAAAAAAAAAGCAGGATGAAAACACCTCAAAGTGTTATTACCATCATGGGGGAAAAAAAATGTGTGTAAAGGAACACCCAGAAGGAGAAGACAGAGGAAAAAGGGCGAAACATATATTTGAAGAAATAATGCCTGACAACTTCCTAAATAACAATAACAGTAACAACAATAATAATAGCAGCAGTAGTAGTAATAATAATCTACACATCCAGGAAGATTTCATGAATATCCAAAGATATCATGGACATAAAGCCAAGGTGTTGAAAGGTAAGGACAAAAAACACAACAATACAGGACACTAAAAGGTAGTGGGATGACATATTCAAAATGCTGAAAGGAAAAAAAAACTTGTCCACTAAGAACTGTATATCCAACAAAACTATCCTTTAAAAAAAGAAAGTAATGGTTCCCAGGCAACTGGATAATCACATAAAAAAAAATGAACATGGACTCCCATGTTATACCACATACAAAAATTAACTAAAAATGGATCAAAGACCTAAATGTAAGAGACAATATATAAAACTCTTAGAAAATGTAAAACTTCTGCGCATCAATAAAATGAAGGAAAACACATTCAATGGGAGAACATTTTTTAATTCATACATCTGATAGGACATTTATTCCTAAAATAAAGAACTATTATAACTTAATAATTAAAAGATACCCCAATTAAAAAGTGAGCAAAGGATTTGCATAAATATTTGTCCGAATAAGATATATAAATAGTAAATAAATACATGAAAAGATGCTTGGCATCATTAGTGATTAGGAAAATGCAAATTAAAATTACAAGGTACCATTTCAAATCATATAGGATAGTATAATAAGTAAACATATAAAAGAACAAACATTGGGGTAGATGTGGAGAAATTTAAATCCCCATACATTACTTGGGGGAATGTTAAACAGTGTAGTCATTGTGGAAATACTTCTATAATTCCTTAAATAAACACAGAATTACTATATGACTAACAAATTCATTCCTAGATATATACCCAATAAAAGTTAAAATGTATGTTGACACAAAGATTTGTACATGAATACTCATGAAGTATTATTTTTAATAGCCAAAAAGTAGAAATAACTATAAGTTCATCAATTGATGAATAAACAAAAGTGGTATAGCCATATGATGGAATTTATTCAACCAAAAAGGAATGAAGTACAGTTCCATGCTCCTCTAAGAATGAACCTTGAATCATTATCTTGAATGAAATGAGATGGACACAAAAGCACACATATTTTAAGAAATAAATTAAATGTTGAAAACAGGCAAATCCAATAGAGACAGAAAGCAGATTAGTAGTTTCCAGGGGATGTACACAGGGGAAAATTGGGAGTGACTACTGAAAAGTATAAGATTTCCTTTCAGACTGATGGAAACGTTCTGGAATTAGTGGTAATGTTCACACTGTGAATATACTAAAACCTGTGGAACAGTAAGTAAACTTTAACCTAGTAAATTTTATATACGAATCTTAATTTTCAAAAAATAGAACTCTAGTTTTTAAGAAGAAGCCAAAAATGGAGGCAAAAATAAAGACTTCCACAGATAACAAAGACTGAGAGAATATGTGGCTATCAGACCTTCCTTGTAAGAAAACAACACAAATCCTTCAGGCTGAAAGGAGATGACACCAGATGTACTCTGAATGTGCACAAAGAAACAAAGTATATAAGCATGGTAATTATTTTCCTTTAACTAATTTAGATAAATGCCCAAAACAGTAACTATTAAACTGTATTGTTGGGAGAGGAGTCCAAGATGGCAGAGGAGTAGGAGTACTTGTTTTGTCTGGTCCCGCGAATTCAGCTAGACAGCTACCAAATCATTCTGAACACCTGTGAACTCAACCAGAGATCTAAGAGAATTGCTGCAATTCTACAAATAGAAAAGTGATCACTTTCTGTAAGAATGACAAGATGGAAAAACTCACCTCAAAAAAGAGAACAAGAGGCAGTAATGACTGCCAGGGACCTAATCAGTATGGATATGAGTAAGATGTCAGAACTAGAGCTCAGAATAATGATTATAAAGATACAAGATATGCTTGAAAAGAGCATAGAAGACACCAGAAAATCCCTTTCTGAAAAAATGAAAGAATTAAATCTAACCAAGTTGAAATAAAAAAGGCTATTAATGAGATACAATAAAAAATGGAGGCTCTAACTACTAGGATA